ATGCATAAGTCAAGAAAATCCAATCGATAATAAAATAAATCCACTGCGATGGAGGTGCAAGGCCAAATGCTCCCGAGATGTGTGAATTAGGAAAACCTGATCAACACTAAAATAAATTTGCTATGACGGAGGCACAAGGACGAATGCATCCGAGACGTGTGAGTTAGGAAAACCCAATCAACATCAAAATAAATCTGCTATGGTAGAGCTGCAAGGCTAAATAGGCCCGAGATGGGTAAATCGAAAAAACTCAATTAGCACTAGAATAGATCTGCTATGACGGAGGTGCAAAGCCGAATATGCATGATACGTATGAGTTGGGAAGACCCAATCAGCATTGAAATAAATCTGCTACGATAGAGGTGGAAGGATGAATACACGTAAGACACGTGAGCCAGTAAAACCCGATCAACACCAAAATATGCTGGCATGTGTTGCACTGTGACGAAAAGTGGAGTAGGGAGCACTGATGTAAACAAGGGCAACTTCTAATGATTGAACTAATTGGGGAGAAACTGGAAGCTAACAATGTGGACTTCGATCATAAAGGTATGGATTCTAATGAAGATGTTGGACTTATCATATATACAGTGCGTACATTAGCTGACTACTCTAACCCATAAACTATAAAAGTTGTAGGAACTTTGGAATAACAACATGTTATAGTTTTGATTGATATTAGTAGCACTAATAATTTTATGTACAATAAGGTTGCTAACCGATTGACCTACCACATTGAAGGCTGTGACAAATTCGAAGTAAAGGTCACTGATTGATGGATTCTAACTTGTGGTAGCAAATGTTCGAAGATAAAGTTGATTATATAGGGTCAATAGTTACTTGTGGACTTCTTTTTGCTACTCTTGGAAGACTTCGAAGTGGTGTTTGGAATTGAATGACTATCGACCTTAGTTGATGTTTCTTGAAATTTTTCTAAACTAATTATAAAGTTTTTTTATTAATAGAAAATAGGTGATCCTAAAGGGAAGACGTAGAAATAAGGTCACAACTGTCACTAGCCATCGAGTGAAGACAATTTTTCAGAAGACCATAATGACTACTATACCAAAAGATCGACCTATTGCTTATACTATCAAAAAATAGTGACCATACTTGATTAACAAATTGTGATGCGCCGTAGATACCTTGTGATTGAAGTGCTAAAAGAGAAGCTCTTTGAGTTTGATGCTACTCGGCCTTGAGGACAAGGCTGGTTTGAAGGGGGAGGAATTATTAGGATCCCTTTATTTTTCGAGCTTTGAATAATGTTTTATTGAGTTGGTCTAGTTCAGTCTTTTGATAAATTTATTAATGAGGATAGATGATGTTGGGTTAGCACATATGTGGACCTTCTTGTATAAATCATTAAATCTTTTTGTATAACTCTCCAAGGATTCCATCTCCTCTTGCCTAATGGCTAGGAGAGAGGTTAGCAAACTACTAACGTATGACTCCCCTTAAGGTCATTGGAAAATTCTAACATATGAGTGAGTTAGTGATTCCAAATAATGTCATTTGAGATGTGAAAGACATAATGTATTCTGAAGAGACTTTCCTTCGTATACATCTAGTGACGGAAGTTGTAAACCTTGGGGGATTAGCTCTTCATTGATATTTTTGGTGAAAGAAGATCTCTAAGTATGATTCCACTTCTAGCTAATTTCCTTGATCTCCTTCAGAATATCTTTCAATTATCGATTTATTTTATTAAGTTGCTCTTAGACTTTTGAGAGTTTGATTGACTAAGCAATCAACTCGTTCGGAATATCTAACACAAGTCCCTAAACTAATGGAGGGGATTATACTTCTTATAGTACTAGAGCTTGGGCTGGGTAGGACTCAATTGATAGGCTTGGGATGCAGATAGATAGTTGAACGGGTGTAGGGAATGAAGTGAATGAGGCAAAGAGGTACTTGTTGAATAAGTTGAGAAAGTTAATGAAGGTAAGGGGCTACAAATTAGACTATTATGATTAGCATTTGTACTTGTTGAATCATGTTGTTAAAAACTTCAATTAGGATAATCATAGTAGGTTGAGTTGGTTATGGATGTGGAGGGAGTTGGAGGAAAATCGAGTCTTGAAAAGGACGGTAGAAGAGATTTAGCTCAGATATTTGTGGTGGTGGGTTCAAATCGATCAACACATTGAGTTTGTTTGGGATCATTGAGATTGGGGGGTTCGACATAGGTGCATTTGGAGCCTTCAAACTAGGTCCATTTTTGGGATTCGACTCCTTGAGATTTGGATGACTAGGGCCTGTAAAGTTTTCCTAAGACATAATCAACCATCATTGTGGTACCAAACTGTTATAGTAGATTATGATTATCCAACTTGGGAGTTAAGTTAGATCCAACTTGGTTTTTCTTCAAGCTGACCTCATGAAACTTTGCTTTGTTGGACGAGCACCGAATCCTGTAAAATTACATCGGAGGCACTCTCGACAAATATTCATTCGAAAGTTTAGTCACTAACTAGTCAAATAGGTTGGATTAGTTGAAACGAAAGAGTATGTCTATATATAAACTTGGAGACTCCTTTTTATAGTGGTCACTCATAACTGTTATATCCATTTATTATACAATTAATACGATAATGGAGGGTTGAAATTTACTAAAATCATCACCATCTAGTGTTAATTCAGGACTAAACAATTGTCTCCAAGACAACCAACTGAATTTATTAATTAATCGATTGTTTAGAGTTGGAATGATCGGAGGCTACTAATTCACTAAGCATATAGAATTGACATGTTTTTCATATCATATACTAAATGTTGACCATTGTGATTGGTGGGTTAATTACATATTATTAACATGTCAATTGAATAAGATCAAACATATTGATTTATGAAGCCGACATGTTCATCGTGCCAATTCTACCAAATCAAAAAAAGATAAGCCTCTAAGTTAAAATCGATATCACTAAATCAATATTTTATGTATCATAAAATATGTTAGGTTGGATTTCGAACCATAACCTTTAAATACCTTCACGTTTTATATAATTACTTAATCACCCAGTCTGATAATTACCGTGCCTTACACGATGGATTCAATTTGCGGCCCCACCGCCCCTATGATTCAACCATTAGGTAGGTAAACAAACGGGTACATTGACCAAGTAACTTTTCCCTCCTCACATCTCTCTCTCTGTCTCTCTCTCTTTAATCTCGACATGATCCCCTTCTCCGTGCCGTCTCTTCTTCATCCATCTCCTGTTTCTTGTTTCTTCGTCCTCCCCCAACAACTCTTTTGCGCATTTGCTCTTCTCGAGATCAATAGCAAGCCGAGGGATTCGATCGATCGGATCAATCATCATGTGCTGCCCGAGCAAGACCTGCTGCTGCTTCTTGCTGGTGCTGGTGATCCTCCTCATCGGGTTCGTCTTCGGCTTCGGCGTTTTCGCCCACGGATTCCACAAGATCAAGGACTCCCTGCACGTGGAAGCAGAGAGCGCCGTCCCCCATGGCCGGCCCTTCTTCACCGGTGCCGCCTCCCCCCCTCCATTCTGAACTACTTTCTTCTTCGTCGTAGATTATTAGACCTCTCTGCATTCTTACCCATTTTTTTCCGTGCTTATTGTGACTCGGTATATCATTGGCTTTGAGACGCTTTTCCCGCTCCCCCCCTCTCTTTCCAATTACTGTGATCCGATCCCTTATGTATGCTTAATTTGCTATTTGGATCTGCGTCCTAAAAAAAAGTTTTACTTGGATCTTCAAATTAAAATGGTTTTGTGGTTTGATCGGTGGATGTGCCCTGCGAGAATGCAGCTGCCGCCGAGGAGTATTATTATCCTATCCAACTTGCAAATGAAAGCATAAATGTCAGGTAGCCGTTACTTGACGTCTTTAGTTACTTTAGATGATGAGCAAGATTTAATTATGCATTTCATCTGTAGAGTTCAGGCCACATCACCTTTTTCAAGTTTCTGTGTGTCAGAGATTTGAAACACGAGAGAAAAAGATAAGCACGAATTTTACGACTTTTTTTCCCCTCTTTTTTTGTTCTTTTGCCATTGTTTATCGAACAAGCGTTACGTTGCTGCTGTCACCGTACTAGTAGCAGAATTAAGTATGTATGTGGGGTGGGTTAGTTGGGCATTTGAAGACAACATGAAATGGTGAACGGGAAAAATGAGAGAGAGACTGACGTACCTGTAAGAAAGTTAAAGCAGCTTTTTGCCTCTCCTCTAAAGCAAAATTGAGTATTCTGGGACGTTTGAAGTTGCTGCGTGGAAGCAACTTGCGAGTTTGATCCACCGGAGAGCCTCATTACCTGTTAGAACAATTATGTACAAGAATATTTAATCTGAATAATTGTCAATATTCTCACGCATGTATCAAGATTCTTATGTGCCAGACAAAGGTGAAGAGACTTGCGAAAGTGTCTTCCAACAACAGTTGAGCAGCGAAACTAAAATAAAAATGAATTCTTGAAGGAAATCTACGGCAACGAAGCGATTTGGATCTATGCATGGTTGGATCTATGCATGGTCGATACGGGCGGTACATATCGATCCGATAGCGTAATGAAGTATCAGAACTACAGTGCTACACTATAATAGTGCTACAGTAAAAAAAAAAAAAAGATAAAACTATTCGATACACCCTGGTGTATCGCTCGGTACGATATTACATATCTTGAATCTCTGTATATTAGATCCTTGCAAGTTACGAATATTCAGATTTAAAGGAATATGCCATCATATAAATTAATGAAATGATAATGTGGCTGATGAATTTAAAATAATAATGAATGTGCGGAGGGGAAAATTTGGGTTTTCCTCTGAAAAAAATTTCCAACATTACCAATCTCCAGTTTCACCTGTCAGTAAAACGACCGAGAAAACCAATTACAACCAAAGCTTCAACTGTTGATTCAGATCACCCAAAAATCAACCGAAAATTCATAAAAACATCAAAGTTTCTAAGATGTAGATGATTGATAATTGAACACTTCAATCAAATTTGGAAATTGTTTCAGGCACATAGAAAAAAATGAGTGGGCATTAACTGGTGGATCGCCATGATAGACGTACATGGGGATGATATAATGTCTGCCATGCTGCACATTCAACACTCCAGCATCTAGATGGAACCAACAACCAGCAAACACAGTATATCAATTAGGAGGATACCGATAACAAATAAGGAATAGTATCGGCTGCAGGATTTCTTTTTCTGATGCAGGAGCTCAACTGCAGCAACCACCAGCTTGAGCTGAGGACCCATCCCTTCCCCCTGATGGAGCTGCAGTTCCTCCATATCCGACTTTGATTCCATATGACTGCAGCAAGAATATATACTGATTAAAAGAGGTGGTGGAATCTTAATTATTTCGACACAAGGTTATCTTAACATGAAAGTAAAGTCTGTGGGCATAGATGTTACACTGCTGATGACACTAGAATGGCATCCTGTTTTTTTTTTTTCTTCTAAAAGGAAAAATTGTAATTACTTGCAGAAACAAAACAACAACCTCCCCTTATACAGAGATCATCAGTAACAAAAACAAGCAGAGGGCTAGTCTCCTTGCAAAAACTGATTATATTTAGGAGATCTGCATAATTGGCCAACCAATTAGCCACTCTATGACTTTCCCCAAACACATGCCTAATAGGAAGGATCAAAATTCTGTAAGATTGAGAATGTCTTTGATTACATTCAAAATATTCCTAGGAGCTGTACTCAATGTCATTATGTTAATAACATAATCGCCGATTCACCATGGTGAACAATGAAATAAGATGAACATCTGAAATCACATCATTGTCATCAAATGCTCCACTTTCACAATGCTATGATGCTCCATCAAAGATGTTAGACTGCACAATCTAGACTACATATGTTTACCACTTTTTTAGCTTTTTCAAGACAAGAAAACAAGTGACCCGTTTTTTGCCTACTAGGATCAACAATTCTCTGGTTGAATATGTGCATTTAACTTCAACAGGGATAGGAGATATCAATTGATAGAAACCTGTATTTATCAACTGAATGCAAATACGCGAAACACACTGGCTTATGTCTGCTAGAGTATTATTAGCATTAAGTTTGTCACTTCAAAGTTCAGGTCCAACATTATCAAATTTACCTCATTTGATACATCAAACACGCCATCCTGGATTTTTTTGTATATTGTTGCTGCAGTGCTAATAAATGCCTGTGACAGTGACAGATATTAGAACAAGTATAGAATTAATTGGATGATAAAAGTACTATCAGAGCAACAAGGCTCTATCACCTCCTCAACATTCTGTGCAGTTTTTGCTGAGGCCTCCATGAAGATTAATCCATGCTCTTTGGCAAATTGTTCTCCTTCCTCAGTGCTGACAGCTCTTCTGTGAGCCAGGTCACATTTGTTACCAATTAGCATGATTGTCATATTAGAATTGGCATGTTGCCTTGCTTCTTCGAGCCAGCTTGCAAGATGATTGAATGTCTCCCTCCTGATAATAAATCACGAATGAGCAAATTCACATTAGTAAAGTCTTATAGCAATGCAATCCAAATCACTTACTACCTAGTGATGTCGTAGACAAGCAGTGCACCAGCTGCACCTCTATAATAGGATCTGGTAATTGACCTAAACGATTCCTGACCTGCCTGAAATTTTCAAAAACTTTGAATCAGGTGAATTATCATGCCAGTTGACGAGGCACATCTTGAATTGATGAAAAGAACAACCAAAACCACACAGTCCTATATCTGTAACACTGATCAAGGTTACGAGCAATGCCAATTTCTTGATTGACGGATGAAAAAGGCTAACCCTATCAATACCAATTTCTTGATTGACTGATGCAAAAACTACACATAGAAAACAATAAAATTGACTATAAATTTGTTAAGACACATTAATTTACTTCCAAATCAATCATAGCAGTCAGACACTTTAGTTTAACTAAAACTCCACTAAGAGTTTCACTGAGCATTCGATTCTATCAGACCACCAAACAATCAAGACCATCTAATTGGAATACATCATAAAATTCATTATAACATTTCTGTATTAAGCAACTATTGATGGTAAAGTAACATATTGTTTATTATAGTGCTGCATCACGGTTAAAGATGAAAGTATCATAGAGTTTCTAGGAATGTACATAAATTCCAGGGAAACACTGGCCACGCAGCTAATCTTATAACAAATAGATGTTGGATGGGAAGAAGATGAACAAGATTGTTGGAACATGAGGCCTTTCTTGTGTAATTTACATATGTGTCTTTATACCATCTCCAAACCCCTCTAACAAATAATTGATTTGAGAGACAACATTAAGTCAAAAGAAACAAATGTGAAAAATAAGAGAATATGATGATACTAACCGTGTCCCAGATCTGCAACTTGATGGGCTTGTTGTCAATGGTTATCATTCTGGCTCCAAATTCAACACCAATTGTTAAGTCATGTACTGGTTGGAAACGCTTGTCCGTAAATTGCAGAAGAAGACATGATTTCCCCACTCCTACCAAGGTAAAAAATTGGAGCATTGACAAATAAATGTTAAATAGAATTCTCTTAAAGTGAATTTATCGAATTTGATATGAAGTAGCAACACACAAAAAGGAAAAAAAAAAGAGACTATTCCATAGAATTCATAGAACGAAAACATTGTAATTTGATATGGTGCAATACAATCTTGACAAAAAGCATGATCTCAAGATCTTATCTCATAGATCTAGACATCAGAGAAGAACTCCAAGGAACATATCAAAGGAACACCAAAAGGAAAAGCCCACAGTGGTAAAGGCGTGACTAGTAATGCAACCAAAAGAGTAAATCGCAGCATCGAGACAGATCATTACCGACAGAAACCACAAAAATTCACATATAATGAGAAGAAGAAATCGGAAAAATCAAAAGAAATCGCTCCATTTTCACAATTTACCGACAGAAATATTAGATTTTACCATCCAAACACGCATATAAAAGCACCCAATGCGTAGATGCATCCTTCATATGAAAAACCAGAAAACAAACAGATCGCCGTCTTTTTTTGGCTATCACCGAAGCCGAAATCGAGAGGAAAGAACCTGTATCGCCGATGATGATGTATTTGAAGAGGTACGCGTACGACATCGCGATGGGATCCCAATTCCCCCCGAAATCTCCCCTCCTAGAATCGACCAACCGAGGCCAAAAGCAGAGATCAGAGATTGAAGCAGATCCAGAGGAGGAGAGGAGAGGAAGAGAGATCGACTCGATCGAGGGGTAACCTGTCGGGTTTGCGTCGAGAGAGGGGTGAACGCGTCGGCCAGCCTCTCTCGTTCGTATTTTAAGGTCGTTATTTGGCTGTCGCTTACTCCCACCGTGACAAAGGTAACAGAAACCCACCCCACAAGAAACCCATCGATGGCTCGTCCAGTAACTTCGATTCTCCTATCCACAACCTTCCATCTCACTTGTCCCGTCATCACAGCCGTCTATTGATCCGAGTCCCGTTCACTGATGGTGGGTCCCTGCGCTTCTCGTCTCATGCGATAAATGGTATGGCATACGGAGATAACGAGGCATCGAACGTCGAGATGAGATCCTCCACCACTTTCGGGAATCCGATCTGCATTTATTTGGATCGGAATTGCCCAAATCTGCAGATTCCGAGTCCAATTCTCGTCAGGGTCACATCGGATTGAGTTCGCTCTTGATTCGTCGACGGGCGTCGCTCCTCTTCTCGGGTGTAAACGAGGGTTCGCGAGAGTTAACCGCACGACGGGGACGGGGATAGCTGAAGCAACCGTTCTCCTCCTCCAGCCGTGCTATTCGAGCAGCTCCCTGTCGTCATGCCTAGGATCGAACTCCTCGTATAATGCCTTCACGCGATTCGATTCGGTCCGCATATTTTCGAAAGTTTTGATCTTTAACGAAGATGGGACGTATAGGGCAATTCTTTTTCCTTGAATGTAGTAGCTTAATACTTAATGTTTTCCTTTCTAGCGTGATCTAGATGGGAGTAGATGGAGAGAGTTTTGATGATGGTGGAAAAAGTTCTGCAGGACTCGACGGAGGCGACAGTATCGGTGGAGGTTCTGTGATGTGGTCTTGGGAAAGGTGGATGCAAGGTAAAGTTTGACTCTTTTAGTGTCCCACGGTTTATTTGATTGCTTATTGCTACGATTTCGCCCAATGAACTGTGAAAATTATCTGGCTTTTGTTAAGGTTCCTTTAGACGAAGACCGAAGTTTTTCTTGATGTTATGGGTACATTCTTACGTAGTTTAGAAACTTTTTGGTCCATTGGACACCAAAGATCATAACTTCTGTTGAAATTAACAAGTCAAGCAATGTTTTAGATCTGGATTTATCCTTTGCTGGTTGTCAAGGAATTAATAGTTAAGACTGATTTTATGTTCTTTCTAACAATTGTAGCTTATTCGGACACAAAGACCCTATACCATTCAGTTAGCCAAAGCAAAATTTGAAGTTAATAAACATTGAAGGGAAAAAATCTGTATATTTTCCTGTGTTATCTCTTACTTTCTTAATAGGGAAAGGTGACTATTAGATAGATTATGCGTCTCCTTCAGAAGCATCACAGTGACTATGGAGGTAATCTTCTTCCCTTTCAGAAGCATCAAAATTCACATTTTCCCCTAAGATTCAATTAGCATTATTTATAGCTTGAAGCAGCCTTTCACCAGATGTTGAAAACTTTGGCTTTTAGATGAGAAAATAAATTTAGTTGGATAGCAGCAGCATAAAATCCTCGAGTCCTAATTTTTTTATTTTAGTTACAGGCATTCTTTTGGTTGTTCAGATCCTGGAGGCCATATTCTATTCAAAGGCTCTGATATGTTTTATCTCGCCATTCCAATTATGCTCTAATCTCTCTTTCTCTCTCTCTCTCTCGCTCTCTATCATCCATTCACTTACAGCTCATCTGGAATTTGAATGAACCAAATCTACGTGTTGGCCCATTAGGTGACATAATTTTGTGGTTATCACACCTGCCTCATACAATTTTTTTTGTCTCAAAATACTTGTGTTACTTCTGATCTAGTGAACATATAACAAAATCGTGTTCCCTTCTATGCCAACATATTCTTCTTAGTTCTTATTATGCCAATTCTCTGGATATATTCTTTATTTCTTGGCGTTTTGCTTAAAACGGTTGACTGTTATTAGTGCTGTCTTATACATTTTATGTGGGGCAGCTCAGTGTAAACTTAGCAGAAAACACACAGGAATCACTAGTAATTACCTCAGACTAAAGCAGTCTAGTCAAGAGATCTCCCACTTGCATTTGTCAGGAGAGGATTTACCAGGGTAGAGCCAGGATAGTCATGCAGTAGGGCCACGAGTCTAATGGAAATTTAATTGAATCATTTGATTGTAATGATTGCTAAGAAAAAAAAAATAGTTATGTTATAGGATACATGGTTGTGTGTATGTATCAAAACAGATGCTATCATAGACAACGATTACTGGACATGAGTGAAACAACTCATATACTATAATTCTCTCTTATATATTTAAGCACAGATGCTGCATCAAAAATCATTTTGCAGCAAAATACAAAAGCAAGAGATACTATGAATTGTAGAGGTTTAAAAGGATAAAGAAAAGCTTACTTTCCAGTGATCAAAGAACAACAACTAACTTGGAATATTTAGAACATATTTAAATAAAATATTTAGTACAAAGGTCGTGTACATTGGCCATCCTGGATCTTGCATTGGCAAGAGCCTCATACATTAGATTCACCCATTCTTCTTTTTGATAGTTGAATGAAATATTTAATTCGTCGACACAAGACAGCATGACCTTCATGCTCCATAGTTCAAGACAAGCACTACGAAAAGCATGTATCGAAATGCTGTTGATACAGCTCAAGTTCTTGCACCTGAATGATGCGTGCCCACTTCTATGCCTCGTTACATCATTTTTGGTTGATGCACAAGAAAATTTTATGACGATAAGCCTAGAATTCTTTACCAAATTATTCTTCCAGATTGAATTACTGATTAATCAAGATTTTACAACTGCTCTGTATGGCTATTATTGAAGTTTTTGTACTTTGGACTACACTTCTGTACCGCAGTCAATTTTTCATCAGACTTGTTGTCATCATGGGTTCCTCTTCTCTTTTATTTCCTGTCACTGCATAGAGCAGCTGATTGAATACTTTATCTTCTCCTCCATGGTATCACATATGGAGCTCCTGATAATAAACCCGTTTGGCAGTTTCCAGGAAAGAAGTTTATAAAAACAAAGAAACAACAGCTCAATTTTGTTGCTTTTCTTCACTCATTAGTACTCTTTGATGAGATATCTGTCTTATCTTTGTCACTTGCAGTTTTGCTGTCTTCTCTCTTTTTTATGTTTCTTCACAAAAGTCAGATCTCTTCACTTTGAACTCTCCCACTTCAAGTCTTGCTTTATTGAACTGTTTGTTTCTGCTGGAGAACCTAAAAATTGCAAGGTTCCATTTAATTTGCACCCTTGTAAACTACCATAGAAGCCAGCAAATTCATGATTAGCGGTTGTCTGAAAATGAATGATGTCTGGGTTCATGCATGTAACTGCTTCTAGATGGTTTGAACTGGAATAAGTGGTGCCATTAATGATTGCTTTGTTATTTCTAGATCAACTTAGTCTATGGATTCATGCATAGCTCCATGTTTGCTTCTATAATTCATCGCAAGTTACAAAAGTATTTTTTTTTTCTTTTCTTACACTTTTACCTCTCTTTCCTGCAGCAATTCTTCTACAGATCACAAGCAGTTGATACCAACCAACTTCAAATTGGGAAGCTCAAAGATTTCCGGATCAATCTATTGAATGATTAAAAACTCTAATTGGAAACACATGGTGCCTTGTTTTCCGCCCTCAACTTGGAACCAAGTAGTCATCTCAAACTTGGAGCATGGTCCATATGTGTACCATATTTGAAGAACAAACTATGTTCTAAACAGATGATTGATTTCTCTTACAGTGTTGAACTTTGTGCTGCCTTGAAGTTGATAGAAATCTCAAGTCGTCCTCCCGCGGTCTCCACAGTTGGCAAAAGCTGCTATCAAAGCTCTTTTTCATATTAGCTCCTCTCCAAGTCATACTTTTCCACTTCTTTTGCCATGACATGAGCAGCTTCTCCTTTCCTATTCATGGAAGGAAATTTTGGGACTGTTACTGGATGATAAATAAGAATTATTTATCCTTTAAGGATTTGAAATACCATATCTGCCCTGAAAATTTTGACAGATCAAATATGTTCCAGTCTTTGACAGAAATTGTCTAAGCTTGTACTCTTAAGACATCAAACTTTCTCAATTGTCCCTGTACAACTATAAAAAAAATCGCATTCATTTACCAACCTCATTGTCTGTGATTTATGCCTCTCAATCAACACAGCTTTGATTGTGAAGTTGGTGGTGAAGCCAATTGCAAACCAACTTTAATAATTAACATTGGCCCCATTTGGTCCTTCAAGACTGGTCCTTCAAGACTGACCAATGTTGATGGCAGATAAAAAAGGGATGAGAATGAGGAGGTGGAGAGATGATAAAGATGAAATGAATATTTAGATAATTTTCTCTCATTAAAACAATTCTCAGAACATGTCTTATCTAACATTTACTTGGCAAGGAAATATGATTTTTTAAGGTATATTATGAAGCTGATTGTAAGTATGAGGAAAGAATGCCTTCATTAAAGGAAACCTTAAAGGCAAAACTATTTTATGTGTTCAAAACATTGGAAGTCTCCTATTCTAAGGAGAAGGATGAAATTTCAAGCATTCAACCATTGATAAGTTTGATATAAAAGTTGATGATACCAAATATTTTTGCTCCCTATTCTCCTCCCAAGAACTGCTCCTTTCTTTATATTTTATATTGTTCTTGTGTTAGATCTAAGTTTAAGAATTTAGATCTGAGATCTAATCATTCATGAGCACGCCACCTGGGAAAGGTCTACACTAGATTCGCAAACAAGCAGACCGCTGTCGGTGTACGAACATCAACAAGTCCTCCTTACTCGATGACGAAGTCAACAGAAACCATTGGCCGCAATCTGACCAATTCCATGCGCTTCTGGCTATCTTAACACTCAAATGTTGCATGTTGACTTTGTATCTCTATCTTCTTCTCCGAGTCTTCTCCTCCACATCGTCACATTAATGACACCGTGTGTATACAAGGCACCACAATCTTCTCACCGAACCCAAGACATCAGTTTCTTCTCCTCCAAGTTACATAGGTACCGCAATCCTTCTCGTTGAAGCCAAGACATCAGTTTCTTCTCCATCCATCAAGAACAGGGAACATGAAGGTACGCAATTGTATGCTTATTACATGTACTGTTTCCTCTGTTTCGTTCTGAGAGAAAGCAGTATATTTTTTGTATAGTTAGATTCGATAATCTGCTAACCGAGGAATCATATGCATTCATCAATCCTTGCAGCAGAAGATAGTGATCAGAGTGCAGATAAAGTGCGACAAGTGCCGATCCAAAGCCATGCAGCTCGTTGCTGAAGCAGGTGCGCTGCAGAACAGAGATGACGATACTGTTGTTCATCATATCATCTCGCATTAAAACCTTTCATGATTGTTGCAGACGGGGTTGATTCAGTTGCGATAGAAGGGGAGAACAAGGATCAACTGGTGATCGTCGGCGACGGCGTCGATCCCGCCAACGTAACATTAGTTCTGAGGAAGAAAGTTGGCCGCGCGACCATAGTGAAGGTGGAGGAAGTGAAGAAGGACGCAGAGAAGAAATCAGAAACCACGGTGCAATGGTATCCCAATTACCCTCCGTGTCCTCAGACGGTGTGGTATGATTGTGAAAGCAGTAGCTCTAATCCAAATGCTTGTTCCATCATGTAAACAATGGATCATGGAGGTCCAAAAACATACCTGCTTTGCTGCTTTGATTTCATGCTAGGAAATGCCAAGGACATGATGCTGTTTGCGATTCCATGCGTCATCTAATTTGTTTGTTTCCTCATTAAAGTTCGAGTAATATATTGAGATATTATTAATGTCTTTGGAGTTTGTTTACTATTTTATTAAATTCATCACTGTGTTGAATAATTTCATCCTTATCTTCAACGTGTGAATTTATCGAAAAGAAGATAAGTATATATAATATTTAATTAAAGATTAATTAATTATACCTTCTTAAAGATTAATTAGTTATAAAATAACATGGTCTCGCTCTTGTCTATTTAGTTCGTATATTTGACCTCTATCTAAAGAATACTTTATACCTTTACTCTATGTTTCGTCTTTTATGTTGACTCTCTTAATACGGCTCAAGTACTTCACCAAGTTTCACCCAAGTTACTCTACTTCTTAGTTTGTATTGAGTTGATAGTAGCCATCGTATCCACCATTCCACATGTTAGCCCTCCGTTGAGTTCGATCTCCACGTTGGCTCTAAGTATGCCTTCATCTAATATTGTTTAAGGTTACTCCAACACTTGATCTCACAATGCGTCCACTAACTCATTACCTCAAACGAGATCATGTGATGACTCTTTGTCACTCATTAGCTTTATAGAGCTATCATTTTGAGATGCCCCTCTTAATATATGCGATCAATTACACATGATTCTCTCTTTGGGAATTGAGACTTATTCCTCTTCGATATATGTCCTATTGGAGTAACTTTTCTCTTTGTATTTTTGATTTTAGAAGTCTCAAAGACTACCATCCTCATAGACTACTCCATCTTACTAAACAAACTGTGCACTATTCCACCACCATAAATGAACTTGCTAGATTGCAACTCTTCACCAATACATCCCCCGTTATGCCTCTCAAGGCCTACTAATATGTTGAATTTATTATATACATCAGCCTCATACAAACGTATCCTTCTCATGCTAAAGAAAAAGTTTCAATACTCTATGATACTAAGTTTTGATTGTCTTAGGAAGGTCATGGAAAATCCATCATCTACATATAAGCCCTTGCATAAGAATCAAATTCTTTGAGTTAGCAATTCACCTCATATTTATGAGTTTTGCACAACTATTTTAGTTACCGAGCAACCCATCCTTCTTTGCACGATATCATCCTTTGCTAAGCGCCTCGCTTACCTTGAGCATCGTCAAACTTGGTTGCAAACTTCGAGTAATAGCTCGAACTCAACCATCACAATCTTTGTACGCTATATATTCTTCCTACCTCTCTTGTCCTCATGGTTCCTTTCGCTCGAAGGATTAGTCGTTCCTCTGAATATCAATCTCAGATGCCTATTCAATTGAATGACTCATTTCCCTATATCTCTATGCTCGTTTCCCTCAAAATGATTATGCATGTTGGCTGCCCTCAACACAGCCTCGTTATGTCCCTTAAATTTACATACCAAGTATTTCTAGGTATACTTATTTCACTATGATATCATTTGTTACAGATTTAGCTAGTGTTACCTAAGTCGTGTGGCACCTTTGAATGTCTATTCGCAAATGGTCAATCTCCTCAAAACCTTTTATGATCCCTTAAAGACTTACAAAAGAGAATAAATGTTAGAGGAAGCATTTAACTTGGGATCCCACAAACAAACATTTTAACAGGCACTTGATAGGTAATATAAATTATAAACATAGATTTCATAAGTTTTTAACGGTTATACAACAAAGGGTCCAAGATGATCCATCGTGGCCAAAAGTCCCCATAAGCGTTCATATGACACTACTGTAGAATAAGGTAACGAACCAGTCCTAGACTTTATCCCAAATGCTTATCTAACCATGTGCCACCTGAGTAACTTCTAGGTGCTGTGTTAGCAAATACTTTATACTATCCTACGGAGTTAGAAATCTAAAAAAATGATTGCTTAGCTAGCTTGTTTCTAGAAAATTTTGTCCTTACACAATAACTATACATAACCTACATTTACATGATTGAAATAACAAAAAAAAACCAATTAAAATAGGGTTACTAAGCCTATTATAAACTATCTATATGCTGTATAAAGAATTGAAAGATATAAATATATATAAATATGACATAAGGGCAATTATGTGATGCAAATGTCTATTGAGGTGGAGATGTTCGTGTCTTGTAGAAAAATTCATTTTATCATCTAGCAGTAGATGGATGATAATACCCCATGACATAGATACTTATGTATTGTTAAGTTTTACTATGAGCGTTACCGCAACTTTGCCTATAGATCACAAAGAATATACCAGTATTTTTATTGCTGATCAAATTAAAGACCTTTGACAATCGTTATGACATGTGACTTTTGACTTGTAATCAATGATTTTTAGTCTTGGTTTCAACCATCGTTTAAACTAATGTAGTTTAACCATAAGAATTATAGTCATAGTTTTAGTTGCACTTAACAAGCTAAAATAGAGGTTTCAATTGGTATATGTCCATAGAGCCATCCATGTTCATCTAACCAATGTTTCAGTTGAATTCTTTAAGCTTCTTCTGCTTTATGCCATCCACTAAGCAATGTTTTTTGGGAAAGCCATCCCACTAAGTCATGTTGGTGGCATCACTAGAGAGCTGAAGGTTCATTTGGAACACACCTTATTGCTAGCATCGATCTTACTCTGAGGGGACCTTTGATAAAGTTGCTTGGACTAATAAACAGAGCAGAACTTTCCCGATCTGAATTTTCAGCGGAGCTGTTGCAAGATTTAGATGAACACAGAGCACAAGTTGTTCTTTCCTACTGCTGTAAGATAAACAAAGATTTGTTCTTCAATGGCAAAACTATTATGAACAAGAAATGAATGTTCATGCTCTGACTACATCATTCAGGTCAAGAAAAAAAGGTACCTGACTTCAGTGCAATCATCATCAAGTGTGCGTATGTTTGATCAAAACCAATGCATGAGAGACCAGGAGAAGAAGAAGAAGAAGAAGGAACTATGCATGTATAATCTTCAAGACTTCATTCTGCAACGTTTTGCCACCAGCACCCCATTTGGAGGAGCACTCAGCTCAACGTCGCAGCGAGGGTAGATCCAGTAAGAGAAGTGGCCTGCGCCCAGACTTGCCTTCACCTTGAAGGTTCCCCTAATACTGTACACGACACTGTTGCTTCTCACCTGCTGCTGCAGCTGGAGGGCAAGGCCAGGTGGAAGGGGCACCTCGCTGGATACCATGTGCACCGACTCCAGCCTCGACTCGCCTGTCCGCTGAGCGAAAGGCTGCACCGCCTGGACCGCGATGATCCGGTCGTGGAAGTACAGCTCCACGCCCAAGTACTCGAACGTGAAGTCTATCTTGTGGTTTGGGTTGGAGAAGTTGGCGAGGAAGGTGAAGTCGCTATTTAGGTACGTGGAGGAGTCGATGTAGATGGTGTTAAGGCTTGCGGCGGTCAGATCCAGCGAGGGGTTCCTCGGCTTGACGACGAGGAAGATGATGAGCGTGATGACCCCCGCGAGGATGAGGAGAAGACTGAAGACGACGCACACGACTGCACCACACCATATCAAGGGGCTCGTTTTGTGGCGAGGTTGGAGGAGGCGTTGCATCCTCGTTCGTGAGTCGTAGAACTCCGACAACGGTGGCGCCTGCAGCGCCGGTGACCCTGGTTTCATGGGTGTGGTGGTGGCTGACTTAGGAGGTCGGAGGCCGTAAGGGGAGCTGCGATGAGGAGGCATCTGCGGAGGAGTGTGGGGGAGAAACACCTTGGGAAGAAGTAATGGGGTGAGATGGTTTCTTGAGGACTATGGAAGGCAAAGAGGAAAGAAGCTTTTGAAGGAGGGAATGGGCCATGCTGTGGTTGGTGACTCACAAAGGGAGCTCGGCATTTGAATAAAGTGAGAGGGAGATGGGAGCTTGGAAGAGTCTGCTTTCTCTTTGACAAAGCACTATAGTTAAAATGTTATGATGTCATCAAACTATCTTTGAGTGATAATTATTAAGGGATTAATTATAAATTATCCTTGTAATTAATTATCTTAAGTATCTTTCTTACGAAAGTAAAACATTGAAATCCCTATACATTGATTAATTAAATATTTCACTTTCGTAAGTATAGAGATATCAATGTAATTACAAGAGCCAATATGTAATTAGTCTTAATTATTTTGATTATGTGATCAATGATTTCAAAGACTTGTAATTAAGCTTGATACGTGAAATCACACACAAGTGCATGGTTTAAATTAATTAAGAAAAAAAGGATATTATATAAGTATTGTTTAAATAAAGAGAGAAGTTTGAACACATAATCTATTTCTTTGTCATGACAAATCTTTTGATACCTTATGACTATGATTATCTAATAGAGATCTCATCTTGCATGAAACTAAAGGGTAAAAATAATATTTTATAAATTAAAAAAAAATAAATAAATGTCAAAAAATATGTTAGATAAGGTTTTGAATATATGCCACTATAAGAAAAGGAGAGATTGAGAAAAGGAAGAAAAGAATTGCCTTTAATTTTGTTCCTATCAAAATTTGTCTTGAATAATTTAGTTAGTAAATATTTTGCAAAAGAGGGTTTGGCCTGACCATTAAGACATAATTTCTTGTCCAATGGGGTCTTAATTATATGTCATCAAAAACCAAAATAAGTGTGCTCGGAATTATAAAAAGAAAATATTTTTAAAATAATTTTAAAGTATTTGGATCAAAGAATCTACTAAGAGAAAGATTAGACACTCTAATCACTATTTTTTATTGATCAATGAAAATTAATAAATTTTTTTTTTCAAAATTGGCACAGAAGATACATTTTATATATTGAAATTATATGTGCAGAGACATAATTATCTAAAATAGTGATTTGAGTGTATCTTCTGAGCCATGGAAATGTGTTCATCAAGTTTGATACCTTATACTTATTTAATGGAGCTCTCATCTTGCATAATACTAGAGGAAAATTAGTATTTCCTAAGTTGGAAAAGTAACTTGATACCAAAAAAATATATCAGATGATGTTTTGAATTCTTATAGATAACTATGGTATACAAATATGCTAGCTAAGTATATGCCATTATAAAAAAATAATAATACTAATAATAATGCCTTTCCTTTTGTTACCATTAAGATCTTGTTTGGTTGGCCTATCCCAAGTTGAAAAAAAATGCTTTGAAAATAAATTTAAAATATTTGGATCCAAGAATTTACTAAGAGAAGATTAGGCACTCTAATCATTATTTTTTAATTGATTAAAAAAACTTATCAAATTATTTTTTCAAGATCTACATAGAAGATACATTTTATATATTAAAATTTGATGTTGTGTAAGCATAATTGCATTGTCATAGAAGATTGAAGTGTGGCTACCATTGTATTATGGATTGATACACAAAGATCATATAAAGTTTTATCACATTGAATATCATTTCAACCCAAAAGCATACACACAAGCTTTTTCAAACTTTATTTGAAAATATTTCTTATCCTTTTTCAAACTTCATCTTGCATATGAATATGTAATGGAAATATTTTTCTATTTATTTATGGCTCAATCATCCATATAAGGTCTCAGATAATATTTTCCTATTCATGCCTTTTATCATTCTCAATATTAGGTCGGTTCAAATATCATTTAATCGATATAATAACTAATTCATTCGAATCAGTTTTATCGACTTTAAATTATCGATGCTAGATATTAGTACATCAATCAAGTTAGAACTTATAGTCAATTTTTTTTTTGTTTTGGTAGGGAATGTTGCATATGGCAAAACAATGACAGATTCTAATTGATTAGAATTTTCTCTTCTAAATTATTTTATATTATTAAAATATTTGACAAGTAACATATAAGATAATATAAGTATAAAAATTATAATTATACTATCAATTTTTTATAAGACAGACGAGAATAAAAGGTTTAAGATGATAGATAATTAAGAGAATTTCTTTCATCTCTTAAAAAAAAATATTATAATTAATTTTTTTATTGATCGATAATTATAATCAAAATTTAATCGGATTTACGATATACCTTACCTAAATAAATAGAATCACATAATCTCAATCAAATCATTTGGTACACTAAGGTTGGTGTGCATTGATGTTGTGACTTAGACCCACACAGCCCACCTCAAATCATCTCAAGCATGCAAAACAAATGTTAGGCGAGAAGAGAGAAGAATGCACCCATCAGTAAAATTTTGAGTAAGGTGATGTGCGAACTATAAAACATAATCGAGTTATCCCAAATCAAAACCAAAAATGATCGAGCCTCTACGAGTGTTGACATTCTAGAAATGCTTCCTCCAAAGATACAAAGGGGATCTCTCAATTCAGCCTTCTAATATTCTTTGCTTTTTCTTTTTTTTTTCTTTTTACTCTGAAAATTTTTCATAATTTACTGAGATTGATAATTTTTTATCCTTAGACGATGAGAGAACCTTTTGAATTCGTAGTTTAAGCTGCTATATTTTGTTTTATTTACTTTGGAAAGAAAAAAACAATAAATACAATATAATTGCTTCTGTGAAATGCTGGCTTTAGTCTATAATGCTAATGAATTCATGTAAGTTATTGCTGCATTCCCTCTTTCCACTGCTAATTTTATTTATTGATATGAAAGAAACAGCATCCTAATTGTACTATAAAAACAGTAATTTACATATGATGCACAAATTTGATAAGACCATATGACATATTTTAATGAGCCTTTATATTCATATTACCAAAAATAATTATAGATCCTCTGGACAGTCGATATTTGATCATATATGTCATTCTGCTAATACCTTATTTATATTACATATTCAACTATCTAACTTAATATTTGTCATCACTGTATGAAGCAAAACATCAGTTCCACCTTTGTGAGATAGCATTATGCATATATATCATCTATGGATTATCAGAATCTGTAATGACAAAGTGTGATATATTGAAAGTTCTGAAAGAAAACAAATGTGAAAGGACAAAAAAAAGAAGTACATTATTTTATAGAATAATGAGCTGTATTCTATAATTTCTTGATAAATACAACAAATGATTACATCACTATATGCTTCACTAATTAAATTAGTATTGATGGATTACTCTTTGGTTATAATGAAGTATTCCTCTATATCACCCCCTTGGAATAAAGTGAGCTAATTATATATTACGTTTGTAATTAGTTATCTTTACTATTTTGATCTCTATACTTTTAAAAATCACATTGAGCTCCAACAAAATCTCTCTATCTCTCTTGATTTTTAACACCATGAAATTATCTTTTTAATAAGAATCTCAATGTTTCACTTTCGTAAATTTAGGATTTCCAATATAATTTATGAAAGTTTACGATCTGAAATACTAAAAGTAGTTAATTACAGAGGATAATTTATAATTTACCTGAATAAAATTGAGCTACGATATAGTACTAAATATTTTTGTGAAAATATTAACTCAATCATCATATTAACCTCTTTAAGGATTATTGGATACTGTTTGGTTTCTTGGTTCTCTGATTGTTGTGAGAAAAATAAAACAACCAAAGTCTTGATTGCATGGAAATCCTAAGAATAAATGGAAAAGCTTTCATGTAAATGCAAATGACATTACAACAAATAAAAGAAGAAAAGAACTTCACAAAGACTAACGGGAACAAACCAGCAAAGCAGACATGCTTGGATCTCAATGACACATTGTTTACAGGATGGAACATGCATTTGTGTTGGAGCTGCAGCTTTCAGAATCATACAACACCACCTGAGAACACTGTGGGTAATTGGGATACAAGTGCACCACACTCTCAAGCTTGTGCTTCTTCGCTTTCTCCACCTTGAGTATATTTGCATGGCCAACTTTCTTCCTCAGGATGCATGTTAAGTTTGCAGGATCGATGTCGTCGCCGACGATCACCAGATGGTCCTTGTCCTCCCCTTCTATTGCGACTGAATCAACCCCTTCGGCAGCAACATAGATTGAAAGATTATAGTTCCTTTCACATTTTTTTTAGTCGTAATCCAGCGATCATAGTAGTACTATGAAAAAATAGAAAGAGAGAAGAATGATAAATCTAGTTCTCCTTGAAAATCAACATAACTATTATTTTTCGGATTCGATGATGATACCCCTACAGATCGAATAAAAGTTTTGCTAGATGAAATCGAAAAGTACGCATCATAAATCTGATATATTTTCATTTGATTTCAATCATAACATTAAATTTTTTTCACGTAAAAGTAATATATTTTAATTTTTATGATTAGATGAATATTATCGTTCTCCGCCATGTTCATCAGCTCACCTGTTGCGGCAACGAGCTTCATGGCTTTGGAGCGGCATTTGTCGCACTTTATCTGCACTTTGATCACTATCTTCTGCTGCAAAGATAGATGAATGCGTATGCTTGCTTTGTTAGCAGATCATTGAATCTAACCGTGCAATGTACTGCTTCTTCTCAGAAAGAAACAGAGGAAATGGTACTGGCGACAAGTAATCAACACAGCACAATTCTGATGTGCTTTTGAAGCAATATCATCCTAATTCATTTTTAGGAGGATTTTTGGACCCCTTCAACAGTATATAACAATAATAATCTCGGTATAAGCAGTACCCACACTAAGCTATAAAGAGAGAATAGAGGAAGGCATACCTTCATGTTCCTTGTTCTCGATGGATGGAGAAGAAACTGATGTCTTGGCTTCGATGAGAAGAAGATTGTGGTGCCTACATATACACACAGTGTCATTAATGTGTTCATGTGAAGGAGAAGACTGGTCGAAGGTACCTGCAAAACCAAGTCAATGCGCAATACTTCAATGCTAAGAACACCATAACTGTGTCAGATCAGAGACGATGGTTTCTATTGCCATCGTCATCGGGTAACAGTGTAAGTAGAAGGTCTTATTCATGCCACTGGTTGCTTTCATGGTGCCATTCACAAGTATATATTACAAGGAGTGGATTGGATACTGTAGCAGTAGAAACCAACTCTACAGAAGTCATGTTAGATCAGCTCAAATTCTTTGATGTGCATTTCCAATGAATCCAACCGAGTAAAACCTGTAATGTCATCTCAATGGGGATCACAACAAGACAGCTTCAGCTTCTTATCAAAGCTAATCTACCAAAACATCAAGCCATTCCATATGAAGTTGGTTTAATGCATGTGAACCATTTGATCATAGATGAATGGTCATCACTGTACTTGATCAAACATTATCCTAAACTATGAACGACAGTCGCCTCTTCACCTGCCCCCGTCCCACTTCATGCTGTTCTTGTTGTTTATGATTCTTATCGCTGTTCAATTATTGACTTGGGATGTGAGTTGAGAAGAGTTTGGTGCTCTCCTATGTTTTCTCCACGTTCCATCCTTGATTTGCTCCGATCCATGGATCTCTACGGCCAGTCTTCTTCTTGGATGGGCTTCCTCGGAGGGATGATCAAGCCTGTGGTCTCGACGGCCGTGGTGGTGATGGCAGTGATCCTGTCTTTCTCTCAAAAGCTTGGACTTGAAGGGGAGATGGTTCAGGCCACTGTGAGATCCTTCCTCCAGCTCTCTGTTGTTGGTTTTGTGCTTCAGTTCATCTTCGCCCAGAAGAATGCTGGATGGGTTTTGCTTGCCTACTTGTTCATGGTCTGCCCCCTCCTCTCTCTCTCTCTCTCTCTCTCTCTGTGTTTTAGCTCCAAAGGAAAAACACAATTTGGGGCTTTGCTCCCAAAACACTGATACGAGGACAAAATATATGCTGTGTGGGACAGAACATATCTTAGACTGCATGTATTCCCAAGATATGAGAGGATAGACAGGAGCATCCTCCTGTGGGTTGAATCTCACATCAATGTGATGAGGTTTACAGATCAAACAAATAGGAGAAAGGATTGATGAATTATACAGTATGATTCATATTTTCCTAATGTGTTTGATCCACGAGAGAAGAACAAATGAGCAAAAATGTACTTCCCTTCCCTTCATGGCTTCAGCAAACAATGATTCTTGGTGGTTGTGTACAGGTATCGGTTGCTGGCTACACCGCAGGAAGGCGGGCGGCACACGTACCTCGCGGGAAGTGGATTGCCGGCGCATCCATCTTGATTGGAACAACGGCGACCATGTTCTTGCCCATCGCATTGGATGTTCTACCTTTCACCCCCCAGTTCTTCATCCCTGTTTCCGGGATGATGGTTGGTCACGCAATGGCCGTCACCGGAGTCACGATGAAGCAGCTCCATGAAGACATCAAGGCCCAGAGGAACCTGGTTGGTCTCAGCTCACTCGATGATCCACACAGGACGCTGAATCTCCATTTCCTCTGTGCTTCCTTCTTGATACTCTCCAGCACTCGAAAGTTGTGGAGATCTGCAAGAGTGATGAACGGGACAACTCCTTGTGAACAGGTGGAAGCGGCATTGGCTCTCGGCGCAACTCCTCGTCAAGCGACGATGCAGCAGGCGACGAGATCGCTGGTGGTGGCGCTGTCGCCGGACCTTGACAGCGTCAAGACCGTCGGCCTCATCACCCTGCCCGGGACCATGACAGGCCTCATAATGGGCGGCGCGTCTCCAATGGAGGCAATCCAGCTGCAGATAGTCATCACCAACATGCTTGTCGGGGCTTGTGTGATGAGCAGCATCCTTTCCACCTACCTGTGCCTGCCTGTGTTCTTCACCAAAGCTTACCAATTGGATCACCATGTGCTTGCTGCTGCAAATTAAAGCCTCTTTGCCTTCTCCACGATGAGCTTGTAGCTTGCAGCCCACAGCTCATGCCATCTAATCATCATGAATTGTCGTACCTGAAATCTTCCAAGAACACCTCAAAATATTACATGCATCGTTGTATATATTTGGATCTTCTTCCCTCTCTTTCTGCTTCCATGCAAATTTTTCTTCCAAAGAACTCAGTGCTTCGAGCAGTCCATTTTGTTACTCTCGATAATTATTTATGGTCCCTCAATTACCAGCGTCAACCTCCACCTCCCTTTTCCCCCTGTGCCTCCCCTGCTCCTCCTCCACCTCCCCTTTCTCCCCCCCTCAGCCTCTGCCGTGTTAATTGATCCCCAATGTATCTTTTATGTTGCATAAAAATAATTTTATTTGTGGATGATTTTCTCATATTTTTTATTTATTAATTTAGTTGTCTTCCTCTTTTAGCTCATTGTCAATAGTAATTTTTTCTTAGACAAAATAATAATAATCAGTTTCAATATGAAAAATTGAATTATGTGTTATATGTAAGACACTCATATTATCATTAAGGAGTGGATGCTAATATCATGAAGAAGATAGTTGAACCATCAACTTCTATAGTGGTGTTTTATTCATCTTGTTATTGATGAGCATTTTGTTCTTACACTTTCAATATTTTTGTATTGATCATTTTCTTATTCAAGATAATAATTAGGTTTTTGAGGTGATACTTCTATGACTTCATTCGATTGACATGATATATTCTTCTTGATTTAGGAAGGTGGTTAATGTGAATTATTATAAATCATTACTAGAGGTTTACTTAGATATATATACATCAAAAACATCATGCCTAGATATATATACCATATTAGTAATAGGGTGAATACATCTATATTCATTATGACTAGAGTTATATCCAAGAAAAACATAACAAATTTTTTTTTGAAAAACTTATTTTGACTTTGGTGCCTTAAATAAGGAAAACGTCAACAGTTGAAAACTTTTAAGCTATTATAGTTTGAATTTTTTTAAATAATTTAAAAAATAATATTATTGTTTTAGTAAAAGAGGAACGTGGTCTATTTATTAAGAAAGTTGTAAAAAAAAGTATCCACCCAAAATTTTAAAGGTAAATTAGCATGAAAAATGATTAAGAGATCAGTTTTTACGATATATCAATGCTTCCCTTTTGAGATTCTATTTTTCTTCGATATATAAGGACATGATAATTGTGCTGGTTAGTAAGTTTTCCTCCACCATCACTTTGAAATATCTTTATCTTTCTATCAAATTAATGTTTTACTAATTTTTGAAATATCAAGAAATAGTTATAAAAATTAGATTTTTGCTTTAGAGGATAAAACTGTGTATCGAAGTACAATCATAAATAAAAATAATATAATAACAAAAATATTGTATGGAAGAGATTACTGCATGCCCCCATAAGTAAGATTTTCTCCGAAAGGAAATTGATATATTTTATTAGAATTTTAAAAAGGATGTTTGCATCTCTTTCTTTTTAACAACTAGTACAAATAGAGCATCGAGTAACCCAAATAGAAATGTTGATAACCTTCTTTTTATCAAGAACCGATAGAAAATAGAAATTTTGAACAAGGGTGTCCCATTCGTTTGGTGTTATAAATTTGAAGAGGCTTTTTGAGTTTTAATGATAAATAAAACCTCTATTTGTGTCTTTTCGATAGCATAAAATTATCATTTTCATACTCCTTCACTACAATCTTTTCGCTTCGATCCTTATCACAAAGATTCTAGTGAAGGGGTATAAGAAATGATAATTTTATGCTCTCGAAGAGACACAAATAGAGGCTTTCCGATAAAGCCTCTTTTGGCTTCAATCTTTTGTTATTTCTTATCCTCGAAGTTCGTCGTTGTTTAGCCATGTCTCGTACTAAGAGTTGTATTGCTTCTTGCCATTCTCCTCTATTATTTCTTCTGCTAGGATTTTCTTTGCAAGGTGATTGGGTATCCTAAGATTTCGAATCAAGAGCAAAACCTACGACTTCCATAGATGAAAATTAAATGCACTTAACTTTATGGTACAAAATTTTTTCGACATATTGACCGGTTTTTTGGTTCGATATCGAATCTTCTGACATGATGCTCTCCAGCCCAACATTCGATTCTCTTGCTTTAATCAATTTATCTTTTCATGATCGAAGTTAGTCATGCGTCACTGATTAGATCATAACTTCAATAATTGATTTAATCATCAAAATCTGAGATTCACACAAATAATGAAAAAAAAATAGTCTCTTCACTCCAATTCTCTACATCGCTACAGCAAGATGTAATATGACTTTTTATACACAAAGAATTGATAATTTTTAATCATTAAGAAATTATTCCAATCAAGGAATATGAATAAAGGAGGAAATAATAATCCCTTGAATCATGACAATCATTTTGTTAATCGATCCCCGATGTATCTTTTGTGCTACATGGAAAGAATCCCAACACATCTTTTATGTTGTATTGGAAAGAATTAATTTTTTTCTCCTTTAACTCCTTGCCATGGTTAAGTTGATTTTGTGAGATCTCATTAACTTCTTCAAGCAGAAGAACGAATGAAAGAAAAGAAAAGGAAAAAAAAAGGACTATTAAAAATTTTAAAATAAAATTATAATTAACAAAAAGAGTTTGTCAATAGAATTTTTTCATACTTATTTTACTGATATTTGAGTGTCATCTAACAGCAACACATTTAGAGTTGGATAATAAACGTATCCAAAGAACACATTTAGTGCATTCTTTTACTAATATTTGGGTGTTATCGATCGCGAGACTCAATTAGCAAACGCAAGCGATGTCTCATCCCCCGTCACTATCGTCTCAGAAGAAGAAGAAGCCGAAGCAGTAACAGTGTTTTTACTGACATAAATGAGATCAAGAAATGGATGCGACGTAGAGTTATCGGACCAAAGAGGACGAAGCTTACAAGTTGAGTGTGACACATGGCGTAGAGGGAGCAGCCGTGTCGAGTTTGCGCTCGTTGCATGCAGGTCTCTTCAACGTCGGTCAAACGATTCGAGTTTCCCAGCACTGAAGGGGGAGGGAAAAGGTTATGAACCTTATCGTCTTCTTCCTGTGATGCAGAACGAGATGGCCATCGCTGCTGTGTCTGATGTGATGGAGGTGGAATCAGGCGATGTGTCGCCCGAGCAAAGCAAGACGGCGGCCGGCCCTGCGAGCACTGAGCAATCGGCGGCCACGTAGGGACGAGGTGGAAAGCCTCGTTTGAACGCCAAGGATGCCATCGCCATAATGTCTCCGATGGAAGACAGGCCGTGGTGGGCGCCGATGCACATCGACATGTGTCGTGGAGAAGGAAAGCAGAGACGTGGCCGCCATGGGGTGGAAGAAGACGAAGCATGATGAGCTCTGGGATAGCTCTGCTGCTGCTGATTGTTCCATCACAAAAGGAATATACCTTTTCATGTCTTGTAGCTAAATTAATTATATATATATATATATATATATATATATATATATATATATATATAAAAGAGCTATTTTTTTATATACATGTGTTTGTGTAAATTATATTTATATTTTTAGAATGGAAGGAGAAATATGCTACTTCCAAACAGTAGACATGTAAAAACACAAAATTAGATAATTAATTATCATCAATTTTTAATTTTATTATATTTTGGATGTATGTTTCTTATTTAGCTTTAAATAGAAATAATATCCTTTAAAGTATTTATTTTTCATGAATGAATACAAGTTGATCTAATGTTCAAAAAATACACCCTATTTTGAGTGATTGTTCAACTTTATTCTTATTTATGTATGACTAAAAAAAACAAAAATAAAAGACCAGTAATCTAATGATTGGAAATAATGGAAGAAGGCAAGGAGAGGATGCAAACCTAACCGCAGGTGAGTTTAAGAAATAACCTGCATCACGTAGTCAAGTTGCAGAAGGAGAGGCGGCTCCAGAAAAGCGACAGCGGTAAGCTTACCGAAGACGGTCAGTGCGTCTTCCAGAAGATGACATCTATAAATAAACCCAACGCTTTTCGCTGTTCTTCTCGCTTCACTTATCCCCCTTTTCTCTCTCAAGTAGAAACCCATCGAGGAGAGGGAAGGCCGTCGCAGGTTCGCTGAAGTAAGCGCTTCGGATCTCTTCTCTTCTCTTATTTTGATGCTTTCTGTTCCTCCAATCTGATGGATTTTAGCTCAAAGATCCCTTTTTTTTGTCTTTCTGGAAGTTTGCTTCCGCAGAAAAAATCGATCTTTTTCGTTGTACTGTTAAGATGTTTCAATATCATGTCGCAGAAGAAGCGAAATGATGTGGTCTGCGATATCTTCGAAGCTAGGATTGGCTAATGGCTTCGATTGTGTTGGTGTTCTTCTTTTACTATTATTTCTTTGCGCTGTTCATTGATTTCAAGGTCTCTGCTTTGTCCACGGCATTTACAGAGACTCTCTGAAGGTATCGGGGACTAAAAACTCGGTTTTTGACTGTTAGAAAGATCGTCTTATTGTTATTCAGGCTTTACTGTGTCCGATCCTTTCGATTCTCCGTTCTGTCTTCACTAATTTCATGTGGGATTTTGGAATAGTTCTGCATATGTTCCTTTGATCGAATCTTACTCTGTATTCTGTGTCACAGGTCTAAACAAGCGGACCCTTTGATCGACCGTGCGTTCGTGCAATCCGAGAACCATGGGGCTTTCGAGCCTGCCGACTCCATCGGAGAGCGTTCTCACCCTCGTGCTCGTCAACACTGCCCTCACCGTGTCGATCGTGAAGGAGCTCCTCCGCTCCGCCCTCCACGTGCTCGGCCTTCGCGCCGCCCCGCCGTCGACGACGAGGACGACGCCGGAGGGGCCACCGGAGCCCAGCTTCACCGACCGGTTCCGCAGCCGGACCAGCCCGGTCCGTTTCGCCTCGGCGATGTCGTGCCGCCGGCCCGGCGCCGCGGACTGCCGGGTCTGCCTTGCCCGGTTCGAGCCGGAGTCGGTGGTGAACCGGCTTCCCTGTGGCCACCTCTTCCATAAGGCATGCCTGGAGACGTGGCTCGATCATCGTCACGCCACGTGTCCTTTGTGCAGGACCCATGTCCTCCAGGGCGTGGACCCGGCCGTCTCCGCCGCTTCCTCGTTGCCATGGTTTTAGCTCTTAAAGTACCGTGAATGCCCCAGAAAGCCTCCTCTTTCTTTTTTTCCCCCCTTTTTCTGTGTATTTTCTTTTTTATTACTTCTTTGTAAATATTGAGGTAGTATATATACACTGTTCAATATAACTTACTCTCACCAGCATTTTTTTTTTTAACTTTGAGATAAATTTTTGTTGCTGGTGATGACGGATGATGAAGTCATTAGCGTCGACGTTGATGTAGTTGTTGGGTAATTTTTTTGTCGTTTTGTATTTACGTTGATGTTTCATCGATACATAATTAAAATCCATTATTGAAGTCATTCTAGAGATTTGTTGTCTATCGAAGTAGGATCTAGATGGTCTTTCGTCGTTTTATATTTACGTTGATGTTTGCATATAATCAAAATTTGTTATTGAAGTTATTTTAGAGATATGTTGTCTATCGAAGTAGGATCTAGAGATGTGTCTTTGTCTTGTCGACGTTAACGTTATACTATTCTTTATCATCCATCTTCTTAATCATTATCACCATTACTCTTTTACGATTAAGTCCTAAGAGAAAATCGTCGTTGTCCGTCTCAACCTTTTTATCTCTCCGTGAGGCGCTCATGTGCATCCCAAGTATCCTCAACATCCTCGCCATTGCCCTCCATCTCTTCGCCCAACACATTATCGGAACTCATTACAGCCTTCTCTCCGTTGAAGCATATCACTCTATCATCAAATCAAAGAAGCTCCTCATCGTTGCCCTTATGGGCCTCTTCGGTACTCGTTTCATACTGACTAGGTCCATCAAGGATGTGCTCATGGCCCTTTACTCGTTCAATCGCATCACCCTCATCAAGCTGGGTGTTCTTTGCATTAATGGTGAAGGACGAGCGAAGGGGGGTGGTAGAGGGGTGGAGGCATTCCGGGGGGTGGACAACGTCATCTTGGTAGATCTAATGGTTGAGGGGAGTGAGAGTACAAGGAAAAATGTTACAGTTGCACCGTTGAACCTCATAAAGAGCAATGGGGACAAAACAGCGAGGGACATTAGGGAGGTGGATGGAACGGAGGCGACTATGAGGGTTTTGGTCGACGGTAACAACGAGATGAGCATAAGGGGGAAGAACAAAGCGAAGACGCTATTGATGGTTCTAAAAAGCGAGCGAGCGAGAGAGCCAGCTATAGGATCTTGATGATTACGAAACCGACACTATTGAGTCCATATTGCAACCATTACTCTATGAGGAAGTCACAAAACATTGTCATCGCTTTGCATCCACCACCAACGTTATCCACTACCTCTAATTGAAACGTTAAAATTATTTTTATTTTTTTACTTCTTGTTTTTATGTGTTCATTAATAAAACCAACAACATTCAAATAAACAAACCTCTTTCACTTTCGTAACTATAGATATGTCAATGTAATATTTTTAAATATAAAAATCAAGATACTAAAAACAACTAACTACAAATGATAATATATAATTAGTCCATATATATCACACTTCTCGCATAGTTTAGTAGCCTTACAAAGCAATTAAGATTTGTTATAGTCTTATGAACAGTTCAAATAATAGCTCCATAAGCAAATTATACTCATCATTAGAAACCAAGGTGACACATGAAGACATAGCACTACATGGAATTGTAATCGTCTCCGGCAATGAACCTTTCACAGGACGACGAGACTCAACATGATGTTTCTTTCCTAGATTCCGTCAGATGTGTCACATAACAAAGTGCATCGAGACCAAACTTAATACACTGAACCTTTGATTCTTCCACAGCCTATCTTTCCCCAAGTTGATGCAACATCATAATGCTTCTTTACCAGATTGTTTGAGATACTGTGAGGCATCAAAGAGCAACAAGACCAAAGTCATAGGAGGGAGAGACATGCTAAACCCATATGGACCAGATGGATTTCTATGTAATTTGATGCATCTATAAAAAGAAAGAAGCATTTTAATGATTATCTGTAAAATAGATAAGAGTTCAAAGAGATAAATTTTACATTTAAAATAATGATTTGTGGTACATCAAATCCACTGACGAAAGAGTAAAGATTTTATTTCACATAAAAAGGTATCTACTTGTTGAAGTTCCATGGTAAAACACTGATTACAGTCTCACAAACAGATCCCAAGAAAGCAAATAATAGCAGAAAATTTGGAGGACGAACAGTGACACACTTGTTTCTTTTTCTCAAGCGCATGAAAAAATATGGGTGCATCAATTCCCATAAAAACAAAGGAATGATATAAGAGAATAACTCATGTCTCTTTTTTATGAAATGTATAAGTCATGCAAGTCTACAAGAAGATAAATTGAAATAGAGAGAGCACAATCAGAGGTAGGAAGGGAGAAAAGGCAAGAATAAAGAGATGAGAATAACAGAAGTTTACACAAGGAATAAGATTATCTCAGTGGAAAATTGTGCCATCAAAGTGTGGAGCTTTGTGAATGCATTCCAAGAAACAAGTATGATTATGGACTTCCCTATCATCAAAACCGATAATCCAAGCACTGTCCCACAATCACTCAAGTAACTTTATGTTCAAAAATTTCAGCACTGCTTTTATCTTCCTAAACATAAGTTGGAAGAATAACAGGATGTGTTATTTTACCTTTCCCAAGCTTTTGTTTTGTAGGTTGTAGATGATATCTCATCAACTGAAAATGAAAAGCTTTGGTTGATGAGGCTAAATGGCATCTGTTCTGAAGATTATTTCCTCACAAAGCTAGCATCTGGCAAAAGAATCATAAAAAGGTGATGGTAACTTGTACCTACCCTCAAAGGTATAAAGTTAAATGCTATACATTTCCATGTGGTCAAACCTTTGCTGGTTGATTCTCCAGATTATTCCCCATATAACAAGCACCTGCAAAAGCATCATAGATTAATGGTAACTCCCGGCTAAAGTTAAAGTTAATCCTATATATTATACTGGCATTTCTAGGTGGTTAATCCTTAGTGGCTTATCTTACCAACTACATGTGGGTTAGCAACTGTGGTATCGAAAACCATATAGTATAGATGATTCAGGCCTTACCAGCAGCATCACTAGCACAGGCCGTCGATAAATCTTAGGGAGTCAGTAGGATAAAAAACCTCTATGAGTTCAAGAAATAATTTTTTTCTTTTCGTAGAACAAATTCTGTCATGCTCCCATCTCTTGTTCCAGTCTGTACTGTTATCTAGGAAAACATGTGCAGGAAGCATCAAACTCTGGAATCATTGAACTCCATGATGGTAGCTTTGTTGGAATAACTCAAAAATTAGAACATCAGACAGACATAGCAGGCATATTCAAAAAGGTCAAGAGACTTGTAAAGTGCAGAAAAATTGCTAATACTTCTTACTAAATAAAGTTCTAAACAGATCAGATATACTTATGGTTGACGATCACATTCGAGACATCTATTTGTTGACTGGTTTTAACAAGAAACATATTCTATAGCTCGAAATATCAAAATCACATCTTACTCGGAACAAACCCATTGTTGTTTTCTGCAAATTCATTTGTTTCAACTAATGCATGCAACATGCAACAAAAAAATCTTCTCAACGAACAATCCCATGCATAAATGATAGATCCTCTAGCAATCTAGCAATTAGGTATCTCAATATAGTAAAATGAATATAATCTTATAAAATGGCACAGCCAAAACATAAAAAATAAAAAAATAAAAAGAGAAGAGTTTACTGCATCTGAAGAAAAATACTAGTATCCAGAATGTACATTTTCTCATCACTTAAAAACAATGAAAAAAGATTGATATTTTGCATAACCACACATTAAGATGATCTAACCATTCTACAAAAGCAAAATTAATAAGAATATAACACACCTAGAGCAAAATCCGATGAGTAACAGGTGCACTCTTCAATTGATGTGCTCGTTGAATCTCGGATTTTGATGATGAAATCAATCGATATGTGTGTATGTTTTAATCTGCGTTTTGATGCTTCGATCAGGATGAGACAATTAAAGCAGGAATAATCATGTTGGGCCGGAGGAATATGTCAGAAGATTGGATGTCGGGCCGGTGGATCGGTCGACGTATCGACAGAAGGCTTCGGGCCGTGGATTCGAGCATCGGGCCAAGAAGAGCGGATATTGCACCAAGGATATCGGAGTTACAGTGTCAACTGGCCGATTGGGCAATAGACCACAAGAGAGGACGATGCGCCAAAGAATCGGACAAAGCGTCGAGGGACCAATGACATGCCGGACAACTTGATTAATGCTTAGTATTAATTGCCTAGATCGAAGTGTGTTTTTACATATGCAAGATTAACTACGATAGTAAGGCATGAAGCAAAATGAAGTCCCGAAGTCAAGGACGCGATTACGTTGGGAGTTCGAGAGTTCGTCGGAAGTCCGGACGTTCGTCGAAAGTTCTGGAGGAACCAGCCGAGAAGTCTCGGAGCTTGTCAGAGAAGCTCGTCGGAACTCACCAAGAAGATCATCGTGAAGTCCAGGAGCTTGCTGGGAGTCCGCCGGAACATCGCCGAAAGAATAGACATAGGGACTTGTTTAGCTTAGCAAATGTCTTAGGATTTCGTAGTTAGCACGTAATTGGGCTTGGATTTGGGCCAACCCAATTAGGGGTCAACTAGGCCCATGTAAGAATTGTGTTGAGCCCAATAAGAGGCCCAAACAGTGCCCCCAAGAAGTCTTACCGTCGTGGCATAGTCTTCGAGACTATGTCAGGCGATGGTACCACCAGTCTGGGCGGTGGTACCGCCTTGCACTGCCCCCCAAGCGGTGGTACCGCCAGACCTGGGCGGTGGTCCCACCCAGGGCAATGTCAGTGTCAGACTGACACTGGGCGGTGGTACCGCCCGTGCCCGGGAAACCCGGGATGGAAAAGTTTTAGGCTCCAAGTTTGAATCAACTTGAAGCCTATAAATACCCCTCTCATCCCTGGTTAAAGCACACAAGCACAGAGAGTTTAAAAAGAAAGAAACGCTGCTAAAATCTTGTGTGATCTCCTCTCCCTCTTCTAAGTGTTAGACTAGTTTGAGAGAGAAGTAAGTGAGTACTTGTAAGGGTTGTCTCCTAAATCCGGTAAAAGGAGAAGAGGGGTGTAAAAGGTGATTGGCCTTCGCCTATTGAAGGAAGGCCTCTAGTGGACGCCGGTGATCTCGTTGGAGAAGGAAACCGAAAGTGGATGTAGGTCACGTTGACCGAACCACTCTAAAACTGCCATGTTCTCTGGTTTGCATTTTATTCTTGCTATTACCTTACTGCAAACCTCTTTAAGTGTTTACTCCCTTCAATTCATTACGTACGCTTTCAAGTTAAGTTTCCGAAATCGGCTTTTCGTCGGAAACGATTTTTATCGTACGAAGTTTTTTAAACCAACGTAGTTTTTACCGCTGCACTAATTTACCTCCCCTCTTAGTACCGACCCCTGATCCTAACACTCCTGAGTTGCTATTGTAGAAATTAACCACATGAAAATAACCAAGGCATGTGGTCATTCAAGTTGCATGTTTAAAAGAACTAATTGCTGTTTTCCTCAGACTCAGCAAGCACAAATTCTGCATATAAAATTTTCAAAGCAATAACAACCATCATTATTAAAGGACCCATAATGTTTCTCTCCATGTCAAGGACAAGAAAACCAATTAGATTCTTCAATAAAATGTCATTCAGGTAAATATCATTTATCTGAGGTCCAACACAAGCAGTTCTGATTGATATAAGAAGAAACATATTACTTGGAACCAGAAAATATGGTTTAAAATTTTAAGAAATATAAATACAAATGCAAAAATGAAGTAATTTATTTTGTATAAGGTTCTTATAAGACAGAAATACCAAGAATAGACTTATGCCTACCTAACTACTACCCTTTTTGGTAGGTGACGTAATATTATGTAAGGACCTACTTTAATAATTGGAATATGATTATTGATTTTTCATACCATAAACAGTTTGTTTTATTCAAATATAGCAAGAACCTTTCAAGGAGGATTTCTACATATCTATATGTAAATACTTTTAACAGACACTAAAACATCTCTCATGGAAAATTACATCATAGTAAACCTTCAAAATCAAATAATAAACAGTGTTGTGAGAATATGGACATATATGCATTTTAATCAATGTGAGAACAAAAGCACTTTAGTCAACAGTTCTATTCATCACCACCTCCTCAGACAGGAAACAAACCACTAGCCAGTAAGACGTCCTTTGGAGAGCCCGTATGGGAGACAAATAAACAATGTCGAAGGAGATGATATTATGTGTCAAATAAAAAGCAACTCGGGACAGTTTCATTCAATATTCCTTTTGTTTGGTCAATTTCTAGATCCAAGAAAATTGTTGACATGATAACCTTGAAAAAATCATCATAATTAGGAGGCAATTTTAACATATCAAACAACATGAACAACACAAAATTGGATAAAAACCTCTAAAGCATTAGGAAACAATGTCATGCCACCGATGATGCTAAGGCCAGTTAAATAAGCACTATGCCCTGGTATCTCCTCCTGAACCACTGAAGTGCCATAGTCCATCAGCATAAGATGTATCGCTGCCAATCCTACAGCCCATATGTATCTTCCTTCTATTAATAGCTGAATCACAGCAGGAATTGATGAAAGCCATGGTGGGAATATAGGAACTAAGGCATTGATAAATGCAAGGATGGTCGACAGGTACAAAAAATGCACCAAGAACCTAAATAGCAGCCAGGTAAGGCAACCATGGAAGATGGCAATCTTCGCAGTGGCCAAAAGTACACTGCTTATTGCATGGTCAATCACCTCAACACATCGAACCCTCATAGATTTGGAGATGGGAATCATACCAATGCCTTGTTCCGTAGCTCCACCAGACTCCAATGTGATGAGATAAAACAACATCCAGAGAAAACCCATCAACTGGGAGACAAAATTTAACAATTCCACCGTGCCTGAGACAAATTTCAGACCAATGGAGAACATTAAGTTAGCACTGCCACCAAGCACCGAAGTACTACTCAGAAGCACCGGCTTTAAGACCTCAATACCCTGTAAAGCAAGGTCTTTAGCTTTCACCCTCTCTGGTAATCAACAATTCCCTAAAGATGGAAACCAATTCTCTGTATATCACAGCCCACTCATGGTTCTTGACATGCATGCTCAGAGCCTGGAGCTTGACAGCGTAGGGGTGTGGCGGCGATCTTGTCAAACCTGTCCAAGTCTCAACAGAAGGATGTGCCGATCAACCTAACAAGAAATGCCAGAAGCCATTGGCAAAGTCAGTCAGATTATACTGGACAGCCAAATCATCGATTTGCTGCCAGACTGTGTGATAAAGCTTGGCCGAATACTGATCGACGAGGCCCGGTAGATCATTATCATCCATCCACTTCTTGAATCCGATCTTCTCAGCGTAATTGCTCTTCTGAACATGAGATTTCAGTGGCATCACGGCATCCTTCCCCTCAACCCCAATCTTGTATAAGAAGAAGACTCCGCCAACAATGGCCCCGATGATCATTCCGTCGATCAAGCTGATGGCGACGATGGTGTTCAAATGCTTTAGGACGCCAGTCGTGAGGACCCTGCCGCCGCTGGGTATGGATGACCGCCCCGTGGCAAAGCTGGCGTGTTTGACGACAGAGGTGGCGGCTGGGCCAGCGAGGGAGAGGCCAAGGGCGAAGAGGGCAGGACCAGCGGGGCCAAGCCGCTCATAGCAGACAACAGAGGCCCAGAAGGAAACGAGCCAGCGCATGAGGCGGGAGAAGCCGTAGCTACTGTCACGGGAGCGGGGGGCGGGCTTGCTGGGGTGGATGAGGGCAGAGCGGAGGTCGGCGAGGGTGCCGGCAGAGGAACGGAGGGGGCCAGCAGGGACAGCTAGGAGGGCGGGGAGGAGGCCGAGGCGGAGGGTTGGGGACCAGAAGGCCACAAGTGCGCGCTGGAGCTCACGAAGAGGGATGGAGCAGAGAAACGCCCACTGGAGGGGGCGGACGAAGCCGTGGAGGACGCGGTATAGGCCGTAGAGAAGGAGAAGGGAGAAGGCAAGGCCGGCGTGCGCCATGGCGATGTAGAGGGCGAGGCGGGCGAGGGGATCCAGCGCCAGGATCCCGGCGGACGCGGATGGTCGATCCCTCGGCTGTTCGGCGGCCGGAGGCCGGATTTGGGCAACCGGACTCGAATCTGTTTTGCGTCGAGCCAAATCTGTCCCGATTAGACCCCGAATCCCCGAATTCGAACCGGGCAATTTCGTTGGACCGCCACTATTAAGCTTTCTCCCACCACTGAACCCTTAAACCTTAACCTAGCATGAGAAGACGATGGGCGGTTGCCGTCACGGCCAGCAAGCCCACCCCTGGTCTACTATCAACCTCCTCCTCCTCCATACGACCCTTCTCTTCTCGGTATTCCTCCTCCTCCGCCGTCGCCGCCGAAGACTTACTAGCCGAGACCCTGCCACCAGAGAAACCCAGCACCGGCTCGTTTCTCGTCGCCCGCCTATCCTATCTTCTCTCCCGGCCGCACTGGCGCAAGAACCGCTCTTTGAAAAAATTGGGTCGCTCCGTGACCCCGCCCGTGGTCGCCGAGCTGCTCCAGGGCGGTTCCCTCGATGCCGAGTCGGCGCTCGCGTTCTTCCAATGGATCGGCCAGCGTCCAGGATACCGGCACAGTGTAGAGTCCTATGCCTCCCTGGTCCACGTACTCCTTCGATCGAAATCTCGCTTCCAGGTTGACGAAGTTGTCACCTTTATGATCAAATCGTGTTATTCCGTCGAGGAAGTGCGCACAGCATTGGAGACATTTAAGTCGATCAACAGAGCAGGTGGCGGTGTCAGATTCAGGCCCTCTATTTGGTGTTACAACACGCTGTTGATGTCCCTCGGCAGGTATGGAATGATCGAGGAGATGAACGATATGTACCGGCAGATTAATAATGATCAAGTTTTGCCTGACCTTGTTACCTACAATACGATGATCAAGGCCTATTGCATGGAAGGGAATCTGGCTGAAACAAAACTGTATCTTAGGTGCTTACTGGAATCTGGTTTGGCTCCAGATAGATTTACGTACAATTTTTTGATCTTAGGGCACTGTCGGAGCAAGAAATTAGACAGGGCTTGTTGGATTTTCTTGATGATGCCACAGATGGGTCGCCGGAGAAACGAATTTTCATACACCATCCTCATCCAAGGGCTCTGTAAGCACTCTAGGGTAAATGAGGCTTTGAGCTTGTTCTTAAAGATGGGAAGTGATGCATGTCACCCTAATGTCCACACGTACACGGTGATGATAGATGGTCTTTGCACGGTGGGAAAGCTTGATGATGCTGAGAAATTGTTGAATGAGATTTTTGATAGAGGTTTGGTTCCTAGCAATGTGACTTACAATGCTCTGCTGGATGGTTACTGTAAGAGAGGGAAATTTGAAGCTGCTTATGGGGTTATGAAGCTAATGGAATCAAATGGTTGCAAGCTAGATGAATGGACTTATTCGATAGTCATTCAGAGTCTTTGTAAGGAGAATAGGCTTGAGGATGCTGAGGCATTGCTGAATGAGGCCATTGCAAGGGGTTGTGGTCCTAATGTCTTTACATTTAGCGCTCTCTTACATGTATATTGCAAGCATGGGAAGATTGCTGATGGTTTGAGAGTTATGGAACTCATGGAATCAAATGGATGTAAACCAGATGCATGGACTTATACAATGATGATTGATGGCCTGTGTAAGGAGAATAGACTAGAAGATGCTGTAAAAATGCTAAGGGAGATGTTTGATAAACGTTTGATTCCAAGTGTTGTCACCTATACTGCTTTGGTTGGTGGATTTTGTGAGAGAAGGAAGATGAACGATGCACTACAGGTTGTGGAGATGATGGAGTCATATGGGTGTCAACCAAATGCTTGGACTTATACTGAGCTGATTTATGGATTTTGTCTAGAGAGAAACGTGCACAAGGCGATGAGTTTGTTATCCAAGATGCTTGAAGGTGGATCAACTCCAAACATAATCACATACACCAACTTGATTAATGGGCAGTGCCAGGAGGGTTATATGGATGATGCTCTCAGATTACTCAACTCAATGGAGGCAAAAGGTTTGGTCGCTGATCAGCAGACATATACTATTTTAATAGATGCCCTCTGCAAGGACGGGAGAATTGGTGAAGCTTATGCTTTATTTTCCTCTCTTGCCAGAAAAGATGTAATTCCAAACAAGGTCATGTATACTGCACTAATAGATGGCCTATGCAAATCAGGAAAGATTGATTTTGCTTATTCCCTGCTTATGAGAATGAGTTTAGATGATTGCTTGCCAGACACCTTCACCTACAGTGTGTTAATAGATGGCTTTTGCAAAGAAAGAAAATTGCAAGAAGCCTTGTCACTGCTGGGGACTATGTCCAAAAAAGGTGTAGAGCCTACAGCTGTAACTTTTACGATTCTTATTGATGAGATGCTCTATAAAGGGGACTATGATCATGCTAAAAAGATGTTGAACCAAATATTTTCTTCAGGTTGTAAGCCAACTGCACACACTTACACTGCATTCGTCCATGCCTATTGCTGTGAGGGAAGGGTAGAAGAGGCGGAAAGTACAGTAACAGAGATGAAGAATGAAGGAATTCTTCCTGATTTGGTAACATATAACACATTGATTAATGGATTTGGAACTATGGGGTACATGGATCGTGCATTTTCTGCTCTCAAGAACATGATCGATTCTGCATGCCATCCAAACTACTGGACTTACTCAGTTTTGCTCGAGCATTTCTTGAAAGGCAAGCAGGAAAACATTGTCCTTAGTAGTTCAGAATTGTGGGAGAAAATAGATGTAGCAATAGTTCTGGAGTTTTTAGGGGAGATGGAACAGTTTGATTGTGCTCCTAATCTTGTTACATATGGTGCCCTCATAGCAGGCTTCTGCAAGGTGGCACGGTTGGAAGAAGCATATCTGATGTTGTCTCATATGAAAAAAGGAGGTTTATTACCCAACGGAGACATCTACAACTCTCTCATTATTTGTTGCTGCAAGTTAAACCGGTATATGGAGGCATCAACTTTTATGAACTCCATGTCAGAATGTGGCTATCTTCCTCAGTTGGAATCCTACCAGGTTCTTCTTTCAGGGCTCTGTGATGAAAGAAACTCTGAGCAAGCTAAATTATTTTTCTGTGACTTAATGGGTAAAGGTTATAATCCTGATGAGGTTGTATGGAAAGTTCTCATTGATGGTGTACTTAAAAAAGGTTATGTGAATGAATGTTCTGAGATGTTTACAATCATGAAGGAATTGAACTGCTATCCTACTCCTCAGACACTTGCTCTGATGGCCAAGTACACTTCTGAACTAAGTCAGGGGGAAACAAGCATACTGGAGAAATGATCCTTCTTAATTGGCATCTTACATGGTAATTCCTGTGGCAACTTTTAAATGTTCCCTTCCCTTGTATGGATACTTATTGGTGGAATTACACCGGAAGACTTATGAAGCATCCTTGTGATGGTGTCAGATGTCCTTCAAAGAACTGTCTTGAGACTGATAGTATCCTGTGATAGTAAACCATCCTTGACATCTGAATAGGTTTGTTTTTTTTCTTTCACTTATTTATGATTCATTTGGTTGGGAATTTGTCATCTATAGAAACATATTTTGTTAATCAAGCAGTAATTTGCTCTTCCTTGATGCTTAAACCTTACAATAATGAAAAAGATTTCAGCATCATGTTTTCTGTTCAGAACTTGCTCTGTTTAATTCATTTTTTGAAGCTTATTTAATCAATTATATTGTAAAAGGCTAAAAGCTTATTTCAAGTAGAATAAAAATCATTGATTGTGCATACAGGTACAAGGGCACAGGTATCTACTCAGACTAAACTGCACAAGTTCCTGCCTACTTGTATGAGGCTGTTGCAATGTACGGCAGCAATTTACAAAGGGGAGTCCAGGAAATGGAATCCACACTGGAGCAGTGTTCATGTTTTCCATCATAGGTTGGAAATTGGCCTTCCAAGGCATGATGAGATGTAAGACCTTTGCACAGATCGACCATGGCCCTTCTTTAAGAATACCAAGAGAATCCTCTTCGGATGTAAACCGAAAAGAAAAAAAAAATCCATTGGTCATTATCAAGAATTAATGGATTAGAAGGAAAATTCCAAAGTTGGATCACCGTTGTTCTAATGATTTCTAGCGGTGGTGGTTTCCTCAGAAACCAGTGGTATTCTAAAAGCTATGTGCCTAGTGTCAAAAGTCAGTTGGCCATGGATGGCCAGATGTTTAAAGATAGTGTAGTTTGATGGTCATGAATTTTTCCCAAACCTCCAGATATGAACCAAGTCGATATAGCTATTGTGAATGCCAGGATGGATCATGTCATATGGCTTAGGCATGGAAATAAGAAATTTGTATGTGAAAATATATCTTAAAAAAGTTTAAATTATTGAAAATCGAGTTTAGGGTTCTTGGTGAGGTATGTGTAATACAGTATTTAGAACTTCAAATTTCTTACTGATTTAGATAATAATACAAATATGCTTATTTTCTTTGTTACATTTGTTTCATTGGTATAGACAAGAATAAGAAAAGCTTGCCTAAGAATCAGCATATACATTTCTGTTATCTAATGCTGTCACTGGTATTTCTTTTTACAAAAGAATGTTCCCATCTTCTCTGAATTTGATAATGTTGGCCATGAGTTACATAATGTGCTTTGGAGGGGTTCTGGTCTGTACAACTAAACGACAAAAATTATACTGATATTTACAAAAATCATACTGATATTTAATAAATGCAGATGCATATGATGGTCACGAGTAGCCAAGATAGATGCATTGGTAGTTGGAAGAAACACAAGCAAAACAAACTCGAAATGTGGTAATGTCTTGACTCAGGTTAGCTGCTCTTCACTCTAAAAAATAAACTGATACATTTGTTATTCCTGAAATGATGACATCATTCCTTCATATGGTTGTTTTCATTTCTTTTGGTTTATGTTCAACTCAATTTACAGATGTTCCTTGTGTTCTAGTTGTTATTTCAGATGAGTGGATTATTTTTGCCCTAGTATATTTTGGCTGGTCCAAGAGAGCGGAGGGATAGTAATAAAATGTTCTTTTCAAGTCTGTCATAGGAGCTGATAACCTTGTCTTCTTTTTTCTTTTCCCAATATTGGTGTCCAAGATTCTTCGGAGCAATTCATTAAATTCTGACAAGTTGATTCTTCAAAAGCTTGTGAATAGCTTAGACTCCTGAATATTTTGTTGTAGCATTGACAGTCTTACACTGGTTATTATTCCGATTATTGTTACTAACATGGGCTTTCCCTTTCAAGATATTATTGGAGATGGTGAGAACATATCAGATTCCTTGGAAAATTATGCCTCTTAAATTCTTTGAATTGACTGGTTAAGTTCTTGAGGTTTTGGCTTTGCAAATAAAGAGGTTTAACAATTATCACAATGTGTCCTAGGTTAGTTATTTCTTCTTTGAAGAACTTTGCTCTGAATGGCACTTGCAAAAAAAATTTCATAAGGAAATAATTTAAACTTTATTTTGAGAAAAAGTATGAGGTGGTAATAGTGGTAATACTCAGTGACTAGGAGCAGTGTTAAATCTTTAAAGGAATACTGAAACGGATGGCCCAAACCATGATAACAAGTAAAATTGCAATGAACCATTTCTTGAAAAGAATCTGTGTTGGGGATCTATAAATGAAATATTCACAAGCAAGGTGCCTAGGAGGATGATAAAAGGGTCTCCTGAAGAAGGCCTTAAGAACAACAGCAGCAATAACAACAACTAGTTGTAATGACAGTAGCGATAACAACTAGTTGGAATGACCCAACTATTTGAGATCAGCTATGTAGATCTTTTATCGTCATTGAGCACCATAAATCTAGAGTGATTACCTTATGTATGATTAATTGCACATTATCAGGCAATACTAGAGTGATAACTTAGTTGATCATGCTAAGTATCTATATCATGAATGCGTCGTTTTAGTGCTAACATTAACTTATAGCAGTTCATGCAGGACATGGGACCAACAGGCTTTTTGGTAGACCTATTCTTCCTAGAGGGTCCTCACGATTGAGATAAGACTTTTTGGTAGGACATTCAGCTTTGGAAACTTCCATGTTTGATTACAAGAGGAGTATCCGAAGGACAGTTAAGATTCTGATGCCTCTTTGCAGCAGATCTCCTGATACACGTCTCGTATAGATTGCAGGAATTCTCAGTTACTCAACTCAACACTGCACTCACTTCTGCAGCTTGTGCTTCCTCACAACTGCACACTGGAGCTAGTTGGTTTCCCGGACAAGATTGAAGACTTTCGACCTAGTAGATTGGAAAAACAATATGGATGCAGTTGCCTCCAAGTTATATCATTTATTAGTTCCTTTCTGGCAATGATACAAGATGGGGACCAGCTTGATTGCTTTGGAAAGTTGAACCTCCTCCAAAGTCTGCTGTGAAAAATGTGCTTTTTCCTCAAAAAAACATATATATATGATGGATAACGGCCAAAGCCTGGATTTCGAGCAGTTTCTTGTGAACCCTCTCTGCGTTGAGCTGTTCGGGATCAAGTATGTAATAATATACCAATCAATCCGAATTTATCAATCATCCTTCATTCATAAGCAGTTCAGTGTCCGATGGATTGTTGCTTTTTCTGGCTGATACTATGGTGGGAATTAAAGCTTTTGTCCTAAAGCTGGACAGCAAATGCAACTATTTTGCTTCTTCATGGCTGTTGCAATGGAAGTATCCATCACAGGAAGTCCAAAATGAACAAGTTCAGCATGAAGACCGAGCCACACAATTCCCTCGCTCATATGGCTCAGATGAAGGTGAATTCTTTTGTCCTAAAGATTATTTCTGGACTTCAAACGCAGCTATTTTGTTTCTTCATGGCTGTTGCAATCGAATGACATGTTCCATTTACTATCTCAAAGTTTTGATTAAGCATGATGATTGTGCTCATCCTTGTGTCAGCAATGCTAATTCTTTTTAGGAGTGCTTTCATCACTTTCATCACAGATAATCTCACCACTAGTTGGATTTGCTTTCCAACTCAGTGACCACTCAAATGTTGCTCTCAGTGGCACAAAGTTCCAAGCCAATTTGTAAGGAGTGGTGCCAAGAAAACCATGACAGATGAAGGATGTTCTTATCAGCATCCGAAGTTAGAAAACCTGATCATCATTGATCTCAAGATTGACGAGAAATCTCCCTTAGCTAAGCTGAAATTGACCAGAAACCGCAAGCCTGAAACATGAGTCAACAAGAACCAGCAACATTTGGAGTTATATATTATAATAGTTTATTATCGATAAAGGTTTTAGCTATTTTGGATACATTCATAAAGTGAAAATAAGATGATTAAAAGATAAAAATTTTGCTTAAGTGATTAAATAAAAATATAAAATGTATGTTAGATTAGTCATGCTTTATTAAATTGAGTACAAATATTTTAAAAAATAATATAAAAATAGATAAATATGTTGAGATAATTTGTGACAAATTCTTTAATAGAATAAAATAGCAGCGAATCATCTAAAATAATAAAAGCATATTCGAAGAAGACATACAAACGCCGTGATTGTTGATTTAACTTAGAATATTATTTCTGCGCTGATGCCGTGTCTGCTACTGCGCTCAAGAAAAAGAGGTTGCCATTTATTATCGATCTTTTGGTTGGCTGTCTCTCACCGATTGCTTCTGCCTTCCTTGTCATCATCCACAAAAGGACAAGCTTGGAGGCTTGCCTTGGATAAGTTTAAATTGGGTGAAGCGAGATCAAACTTCTCTTCCTCTGGATTGTGACCTCCACACTTTTGACCCGGTTGTGCTTGCAAGGATGGGAGATGAGAACCAGCAGGTGGTCGATGCACCAGGACAAGAGAGTCATTGTCTTTGGGACAATTCAGCCACCATCGAGTTCGTCCTTCCAGAGAGAGAGAGAGAGAGAGAGAGAGAGAGAGAGAGAGACTGATGGTTGATACTTGAATTGGTCCGTCAAAGATTTCAATTGGACTTGGTGATGATCATGCTTAATCTGTCAATGCATCGAGAAAGAACATGTAGTAATCGTCTCTTATTGCAATCAGTGACACTATAGGATGTAAGCAGCTAGAAGATTCATTCTATTTGTCAACAAGAGCGGCTTAAAGATTCATTCTATTTGTCAACAAGATTCATATTTTATAAAGTTGATGTAAACATAAAATCTATACTTATGCTTGTGTGAAATATTTTAATAATAAAATTTAAATTAAAAAATAATTCTTTCGATGACATTCATACTCATCAGACCCTTATAAGTTAATCTTAATCTTGCCCACTTTGAATATGAGACTAATTAGGAGTCTAACAAAGCTCCACGCTGTGACGAATCCTCTAACTCCATCTATAGGGAACCCTTGACTAAAATATTTAAGTTGAAGTTGATATTAATACACTCATCAGACCCTTATAAGTTAATCTTAATTTTGTCCATTTTCGATGTGGGACTATCAGGGGTGTTACAGTCACTATGAGCGATAGATTAAGGATAAAAAAAGATGAGAGAAGATGTGCAATCTTAATAATATCACGTATTCATATCTCCTATGAATTTCGAGTCCCTAAGATGTCTTTTTCTTTTATAAGCAAAAGTATAAAGTCTAAAATAAATAATTATGAAAGTCTCCCATCAAGATCATCTTCTAAAGAATTCTATCATAATTGAACATCCTTATTATTGATCGATAATCATAATCAAAATTTAATCATATTTATAATATATTTTACTTGAGTCATATAATCTAAAATTTCATTCATGCATGCATATATGTAGCTCTAAGACAATAGAAATTTTTTTCTTTTTATCTTTCTTGGTAAAGGTAAAAAAGATATAATCATTTGACCTAATCTTTATATTATTATTTACTAATGTATTTTGTGTGTAAAAATTTATTGAATGAGATTTTAAATTTTAAATTTTTATTAAATAAATTTTATTCATCATCACATAATCAATATTTTAAGTATAAAATTTATCATATGCCATTTTAGGTTTTATATACTATAAAATTCAATTACTATAATATATATATATATAATATTGAGTATAAAACTTGCAGATATTATGGTTAGAAGATGCGAAATAATTATTATAAATAATATAAAAAATAAATATTAAAATATTAACTTAATAAATAATTTAATTTTTTACATAGCTCAATGATAATAAGAGATTAATGCAAGTGACTCCAAATAATTCAGAGATTACTATCTTATTATTGTATTAGTGTCGTTGTTGATGAACCAACGTATAATTAATTTCATGCCACTCATTTCTTTATGTGGCCATCTAACACTAGAATCATACACCCAAACAAAACACTTTTATCTGGCCACTCATCTCTTTCCTGTCACTCGTCTCTTTGTATACCGCCGAATTAGCTCTGAATCATAGCAGCAAAGAAAGAGAGTCAGCGTTCGTGAGAGAGAAAGAAAGGGGAGTGACTTGTCGTTGATTTCATGCCACTAGTCTCTTTGGATAACCAATCTAACTAGCACTATATCATACACGCAAAGAAAGACACCTACAGAGAGAGAGAGAGAGAGAGAGAGAGAGAGATATGGCAGAGAGGAGACTCCTCTCTCTCTTTGGGACAGAGAGAGCAAAGGGAAGGACTGCCTACAAGCTGTTTGCCAGCTCCATGCTTGTGAACATTTGCCTGGTCTTGTTCTACAGAGCAACCAACATCCCCGGAAGAGGGGAACAAGGGAGGTGGGCATGGATGGGGATGCTTGCAGCAGAGCTCTGGTTCACTTTCTACTGGATCATCACTCAGTCCGTGCGTTGGAATCCCATTTATCGCCACACCTTCAAGGAGAGACTCTCTCAGATGTAAGTCACATCCACTCTCTCTCACTTCCCTCTCTTTCTACCTTGTTTCTTCTATACAGTTCTTCATAAGAAGTGAATATTGAATTGATAGATACAAATGATAGGATTATCACGTAAAATAAGGTAAAATATTTTATCTTTTATTCAATTTTTTTTATAATTATAATACTCTATATGTTTCATAACATGAATGAAATCCTTCTTTGACGACAACTCGATCTCTCGACTCAACTGCACATGTTAGAAAGTAGCTATTAGAACCTCGGAAGATAGATCATAAACTCTATTCAGATGCTTCCATATCTTGATTGTGAAGTCAGATTCTATTCTTGATTAAGGATTACTGTTTTCCTGGTTGACCAAAACAAAAAAAAAACATATTTACTGATTATTATGCTGAAAAGAATAATATTACCATAACCTTGTTTTGTTACACCAACGAGAATAAAATATGTCCTTCTAAAGTAGGTGAGTGATGCATCGAATGGTTGTTGAGAGAGAGTAGTTGCCGAGACAACTATATAAGCTGCAAGTGATCTCCTTGTAGAGATTGACCTTGTCTTCGAGGTTCGATCTACTTATAGAGATATGATCTGATAGTTGGCATCAAACTTTGGAGGAGTCCCCACACATCAATCATCTTTGTCAACTAAGATGACACTGCAGGTGACCCTGCCATTTCCAGTTCCAGAAATCCTACACGACCAAACAACGACACATTGCAATATTTGGAGTGTTCTTTTCCTCCTTCGTTTATGGTCTTTCGTCTTTATCTGACGGAATCCTCCACTGTTGGTTTGAGCAGATGAACGAAAATATTAAACTAATATTTGATTGATTATTTATTGGTAAAGATATTTAAGTATCTTATTATTAATTTGAAAGAGAAGAAAATCATATAATTTACATTGTTCTCTAATCTACTTGATATATGTTTCTTTAATTATCATCTGCCTACCATCATCATTATCTTTTATTTTTATATTCTTATCGATAAAACTAATAACATTAAGATAATAGAATTAGATGTTTCACTTTTATAATCATAAAATTTTAATATAAATTATTTAAATATAAGAACTGAGTTATCAAAAAGATGAAGACTGCTCTGTATATCCATCAGTACCAACATAGTTGACGAAAAGTGACCTTTTCGTCAATTATGTTGGTATTGATGGATATACAAAGCAGTCTTCATCTCTTGTTATCACTCTCCTCATCCACAACCGTCACCTCGAGCGACGCTTTCGTTGCTCTACATCTGTGTTAGTGTCGACTTAATTGTCGAGTGGTTGAAAGATCGCCAACACAAATATAGAGTGGGCTGCTACTCTCCTCATCTACAATAACTACTCATGGTCCCTAACGATTCTACCATTCACTACCACCGACGTTGTTTGTTGTTATCAATTAGAACAGTAAAATTATCTTTTTGCCTTTTGTTTTCATTTTTCTTTCGATAAGATCAATGACGTTAGAATATTTATACTGTGTTAGTAAAAATTTATATTTAATTAAATTAAAAAATATTTTAACTATTATTTATATTTTTAATATATATATATATATTTTAAATCATTAATAATAATAATTTTATATCATTTTAAAATTTTATTTTATTATTTATTGAAACTATATTTAAGAATATATATTTTTTATTTTTTAAGAACCCGATTCATTCATCCTAACATTATCCAATACAGCATAGGATCACTTTTATGGATAGAGCCCATCGCTTATATGGATTGGGCTTCAAGGGGCCCATGTATGTGACGATAATAACAATAACCGTCATCATTTTGTTGCCACTAACTGCAGAGATGCCTCCGAGCTGCCGGGGCTGGACATCTTCGTGTGCACCGCCGACCCCGTGGCGGAGCCGCCTGCGCTGGTGATCTCCACCGTGCTGTCGGTCATGGCGTACGACTACCCGCCGGAGAAGCTGAGCGTGTACCTCTCCGATGACGCCGGATCGGAGCTGACGTTCTACGCTCTCTGGGAGGCAGCACAGTTCGCGAGGCATTGGCTCCCCTTCTGCAGGCGGCACAAGGTCGAGCCACGGTCACCGGCAGCCTACTTCTCATCCCGTTCCCACCCTTGCGATACCTGCAACGACACTGAGCGGTCCTACATGAAGGTAGCAATTGTCTATGTGAAGGAACGGTCGACGACATGATAGTTAATGATTGACACAAATTCTTGCAGAACCTATACAAAGAAATGGAAAGCCGCATAGATGCCGTTGTCATGCTTGGGAAGGTACATGAAGATCTCAGATCACGGAAAGGCTTTTCAGAATGGAAATCTGGGATGACATCCAGGAATCATCAGCCTATTGTTCAGGTACAAGTGTCGTCAGCAGCACGATCAAGATGAGTCTACTGCCATCTTGTCATTGTTATTCTTTGGTTTCCCTCGTAGATCTTGACAGATAGCAGTGACAAAAGTTCGGTCGACGATGATGGCACTGTGTTACCAACATTGGTGTACATGGCACGCGAGAAGAGACCGCAGCACCATCACAACTTCAAAGCTGGCGCCATGAACGCTTTGGTAACCTAACCTTGATTGCTTTACTTTCTTGCACTGCAACCTGCTCAGGTAAAGACTCGAGCAATTACTGTACATTCCCTAACGTGTAGATAAGGGTGTCTTCAGTGATAAGCAACAGCCCGGTCATCCTCAACGTGGACTGCGACATGTACTCCAACAACGTGGAGTCCATCAGAGACGCACTGTGCTTCTTCCTGGATGAAGAGAAGGGTCATGACATTGGCTTTGTGCAGTTCCCTCAGAACTTTGAGAACAGCACCAAGAATGATCTTTATGGCAATGCCTTTAAGGTGATCAATGCGGTAAGAGCGACATGCAGATCGAGTGTTTGAAACGCTACGTACTCTTCATAGCATCAAATAGATGTCAGGCAAGAGCTAAATTGTGTGCAATGTGGATGGGCTACAAGGTGGAGCTTGCCGGCTTGGATAGCTGGGGAGGACCTTTGTACATCGGCACTGGATGCTTCCACAGAAGAGAGGTCCTCTGTGGGAGAAAGTACAGCAAGGACTACAAGGAAGACTGGAAAAGAGAAACTAAGAGGAAGAAGGAAGATACTGCCTTCATCTTGGAAGAGCGAGCCAAGTCTCTTGCCACTTGCACCTATGAGCACAACACTCCTTGGGGCAATGAGGTCTCTCTCTCTCTCTCTCTCTCTCTCTCTCTATATATATATATATATATATATATATATATATATATATATAATGTTTTCAGATGAATAAGCTGCAACTCTGGGATGACAGATGGGATTGCAGTATGGATGTCCGGTAGAGGATGTGATCACAGGATTAGCAATTCAATGCAGAGGTTGGAGATCCGTCTACTTCAATCCTCCAAGGAAAGGTTTCTTGGGTGTTGCTCCGTCGACACTGGCAGAGACACTGGTGCAGCACAAGAGATGGAGTGAAGGGAACTTCCAAATCTTCCTCTCCAAGTACTGCTCTTTCCTACAAGGCCATGGGAAGCTAAAGCTAGGACTGCAGATGGCCTACTGCATCTATGGCTTGTGGGCACCAAATTCCATCCCAACTCTCTACTACGTTACCATCCCTTCCCTGTCCCTCCTCAAAGGCATCTCCTTATTCCCAAAGGTAGGCCACATTGGATTCTCCATCAATTCCACCTTTGCATGCCCCAGTACTAACTTAAGCTGATTTCTTTACGCCGAACTTAGGTCTCCAGTCCATGGATCATCCCCTTTGCCTACGTCGCCATAGCCAAGAATGCGTATGGCTTGGTTGAATCCCTGGCATGTGGTGATACCTTAATTGGGTGGTGGAACATACAAAGAATGTGGCTGCTGAAGAGGATCACCTCGTATCTCTACGGCACGGTTGATGCCATCCTCAAGGTGATGGGGTTCCCCAGGACAGGGTTCACGATCACGGCGAAGATGGCGGACGCGGACGCCTCCAAGAGGTACGAGCAGGAGATCATGGAGTTCGGCTCGACATCGTCGTCGCCGATGTTCGTCGTGATCGCCACGACGGCGTTGCTCAACCTTCTCTGTTTGGTGGTTGGGTTGCAGAGGCTGGTCGCAGATTGGGATTTTGGAGACCAGTTCTTGATCCAACTTCTTCTTTGTGGAGTGGTAGTGGCTCTGAATCTTCCCATCTATGAGGCACTCTTCTTGAGGAAGGACAAGGGAAGGATGGCTCCTGCTGTCACATACATCTCTCTTGGATTCACTGCTTTGGCTTATCTACTTCCTATAGTGTAGTCTTCTAAGACCTTTACGCTACACGATAGTATCTAAACATGTCAAAGACTCTCAATGTCATTACTGCAGTTTCATGGGCCTCTCTTTCTGCTCATATCTCCTGGTGGTAAACGTCAGTACTGCGGTTCGTAGACTAGTCTGAAGCTTTGGATTTAGATTCTGTCATTGTTGTTTTCTTCCTTATATTGATAATACCACAATATAAGATCTCAGGAACTTTACTGGATTGGCATTTCAATCGTAGTAGATAAATTAGTCGATGAGATCAAACTTGGATCTCATGGACCAAGTCCCAACTAAGGCACACCTCAAGACGCTCAACTATAAGTGAGCCATACACGACTAGAAGATCCCTGGCTGGTCATATGAAACACAAAGAGGAATATATGAATACTGATGTTGCTACGGTGGCTTCTCACTCACCGGCTGACACATGAAAAGTGCGAGCAGGAGGAGGAGTCTGTCATCAAGCTTGACATTTTTTGGCATGTTGACGCATCTTCCTCCACCTCCGAGTAAGGGTCCTCGGGCTTCACGCGTGTAATGACCAACTTATACTCAGACTAGAGGTAACACCGCACGAAGGGAGTCCTTTCTTGAAGCCAGTTGATTTCTTATGCTCAGCCATCGTCTCCTTTGGCACAGTACAGGCAAAGAGAAACCTCGGCTCGGGTAGCGCATGATCACATCTCCCCCCACTTTTTCCTCAGGATTCTTAATGCACCTGCACAGCTATAGGCTCTCATCACGTAGCCCGTCGATTCTCGAAACAAAAGTTGTGGTATTGTTTGGAAAAATTATTATAACAGAATATTTTTTTCTCTTTGTATATCAAAATAAATTTTTCATCAAAATATTAATTTATTATTAAAAATAAATATTAATCAGAGCAGTATAAACAATAGAATAATGAATCAATCACAAAGTAAAACACTAAAATTTTACGTGCAAAACTCAATGCGGAAAAAATCATAGGATCGTAGTCCACTTCAAATCTCCACTATCACTAATAATGATAATAAGTTTACAATAATTTTTTTTCAAAATAAGTATAAGATCACAATAATATTAAGAATATGGATCTTAGTTCAACAATAACATATCATCATCCTCGTAGGATTTCATCAAAATAAAAAAAATTTAGTCTTATCAAGTAAGTATACCAGAAAAGCACATTAGAGAAGGCAAATCATAGATCGGCACTATTAAAATTGTGAAGCTTATTGTAAGGATTCTTTTTCATAAAATTTAGACCAAAACTGATGAAGTCTAATGAAAGCTTCAAAATAAAGTTTAGTTACTTGTTCATTCATCCGCCTCAGACACCTCTTTAATAAATTAAATTAAACTCAATACTCAAATCATCCTATCCAAATCCACCTTATGGGCTAGCCCCAACAGGTATGAATCTCTGGTGTTGCTTCACATAACTCATCCCGAGTTGAAGATGCTACAAAATTGCATCAGGAGTATTTTGTCAGGTATTTGTGATGCGTAGTCTCAAAGAGCTCAAGAACATGTGTTTAGCTCCAAGAGTCTCAGGTGTTCAGAGATAATGCGCATATACAAAGAGAGAACTTCGTTTTATACGCCTCATAAATAAATACATACCTGAAAGACCCTTTTATATATACATAGAAAATATCTCCTCATATAGCCTCAGGTTATGGTACCAGAAAGTGTATTTCATTTTGACTGTGCATGCTTGTGTGGTGTCCAATCATCATCTATAGGTGAGACAAGGTGGCACCATGTCATTGCCTTGCTAAGTGAGCCCTTTGGCCTATTATGCGCCACGTTTCAAACTTTAACTATTTTATTACCGTTTAACTGTGTACCACATGTCGTTTGACTGTTAAATCTAGTCATATTATTTGACCCCATTATCCCATTATGCTTAGAAAAATAGTTTGCATGAGAAACATAAAGGTATTTGGGCATTCTAACTTGAACCCTTATGTAGGGAGTATTAAATGTATATGACATGGGAGGGCATCGTGGCGTATTGAGTTGAGATGTTCATGTAAGAGTTATTCGATGGATAAAAACATAAGAGCATCGATACGTACTAACTTGTACCTCCTATGTAGGAGGTGTTAGATACACAAAGGTATTAGGGCATGCCAATGGATTTCTTAGATGTATGAGAGCATTTAGACATGCTAACTTCCCACTCATATAAAGGATGTTGGATCCATGAGATGCATGAGTGTGTCTAGGCATATCAACATGTAAGGGATGTTGTATGCATAATACACACTAGAACATTTAGTTATGTCGATTTGAATCACTCGTGTAGCTGGTGTGAGGTACATAAGACACAAGAGAATAATGGGGCATGTCGAGTTGAACTGCACAAGTAAGGGAGTCAAGAATGCGTAAGACAAATAATGATATTGGGGTATGTATACTAAAACAACTTGTTTAGGGGGGATCCAAAACATTAAGTTGTTTGTATGAGTTAACTTGAATCACCTACACAAGATATGTGAGGGTATCAGGGTATGCCAATTTGAATTACTCATATAGGACTATTAGATACATATCGATATTAGGGAGAAACAACATTAACCACCCATTTAAGGGATGTAAAATACATACAATGCATGAGACCATTGGGACATACCAACTTCAATCTCTCATATATCTGAGTGTCAAATACATATATGATATTGGGGTATGTATGCTAAAACAACTTATCTAGGGGGGATCCAACACATGAGGTTGTTGGTTTGAGCTAACTTAAATCACCTACATAAGTGTGAGGGTATCGGGGAATGCCAATTTGAATTGCTCATGTAAGACTATTAGATGCATATCGATATTAGGAAGAAACAACATTAACCACCAATTTAAGGGATGCAAAATACATACAATGCATGAGAGCGTTGGGACATGCCAACTTCAATCTCTCGCATATCGAGTGTCAAACACATATATGTGTTGTCACATGATCATTGGCTGGCGCTCAAATGGCCCTCCAAGGTGTGCCAAATTAAAACACTATAGTAGGGAGTATTAGATACATGAGGTGCATGAGTATGTCGAGTTATAATAACTTGAAACCTTCGTGTAGAGGTGTAAAACAAATTAGAAACACAAGAGCATCAAGTCATGCTAACTTAAACTACTCATGCAGGGAGACTTTAGGTGCATAAGATGCAAGGGTGTCAGAGTACCGACATGAACTATCATTATCATTATTGAGGTTGTTGGACACAAGAAATGCATGAGTGCTTTCAAACTTGCCAACTTGAATCACCAGGATTATGAGGCATAAAGAACGTTTAAGATACTAATTCATCAGCTTATTTGAGCTCACAGGGAATTCTTGTCCCCTTCTCCTTCGTGCTCTTACCATCATCTCGATGTTCCAAAGCCAAACCATCAAATCAAGCAAAATGGTGTAAGATCAAAAGGACAAATCCAGAAAATGGTTAAGGGGACTATGCAATCAGACAGACGTAAACTTCGTCTGTGATGTCACCTTATTGAGTCGAATCCACTAAACTACAATCGTAATTCTACTAAACCTTCCCATATAAGAGTTTAATTTGCCCACCACATGAAGCTTCTCTCCGAGACTCCAATTTACTTGGTGAACTCCATCACCGACATACCCGCAAACGTAGCAGCAGCATTGAATCCGGCGAAGCCGGCTTCCGTTGCCAAGGCCCGGAACTCCTCCTCAGTTCTCTCCTTCCCTCCGATGCAGTGAGCCAACATGACGAGGTCCAACTGGAAGACGAATTGGGCTTGTGCAGTTGCCGCCGGAGCCACCGGACGGATGTATTCCACCACCAACACCTTCCCATTCTCCGGGAGACTCTTCCGGCAATTCTTCAGCAACGTCACACAGAGATCGTCACTCCAATCATGAAGAATCCACTGCACCCTCAGAATCACTCGACGTTAGCATTTTTGGAAACCAATGCTCATTCAATAAAAGTCTACGTCGACCTAACCTTCAAGAAAATGGCGTCTCCAGAGGGAACACTGTCGAACATGTCTCCACTGACGTGCTGCACTCCTGCAACCAAACCATACCACGAAAGAATGATTAGACGCCTGTTGATGATGATTACAGAGACTGATGGAAACGCACCTGGAATCGGTTGTGCGGTGGAGATGACATGGGGGAGGTCGAAGTTGATGCCCTTGACGTGGGGGTGCTGGGAGGTGATCATGCGGAGGGTGGCGCCGTCATTGCCGCCGACATCGACGAGCACGTTGATCCCGGCGAAGCCGTTGTAGTTGCGGAGCAGCTGCTTGATCATGATGCCGGAGTGGCTCAGCATCCCCTCGTTGAACACCTTACTGAACCGTGGATCGGTGCCCATGTAGTCGAACGCCGACATGCCGTAGGCGGCCTCCACAGGGTGAACACCGCCCAACACCGATTCCTTTACGTGGTGCCTGCCATCAAAAACTTTAACTAAGAAAGACTATCCAAATAAATTAAAATTTCAATATACTATCTTAAAAAATCATAAAATTTCTATTAAATCATGAAAAAAAAATCATAAATTTAATTTAATATTTCGACGTACCATATATCGATGTTGATCTTGTCGTGCTCCAACAAAGCATACTTCGCTATGGAGCCATCCTCGTTCGTAATCAAGTACTTGCAGACGGGCTTCATGCTGTACTTCCTCAAACTGCGACCATCGGCGGAGACGACGGTGCAGGTGATGACATCGTTGGCAGCGAGTAAGCAGAGAAGCCGGTCCACCCAGTTGGCCGCCTGCGGGTTCTTGGCCGGCAGCTGGGCAGCGATTTCCTCCGCGCTCAGTGCACCGCCTGGGTCAGCTCCGACGATGATCTCGAATAGGCCGAGCTCGATGGCCACCTTGAGGGTCATGGGGAAGATGACGACCGACGACAGTTGCAGTGCGCGCTGGCATGCCTCTTCCTCCTCCTCGGGGGTCAACCGCAGCACCTCCTTCATGGCCGCCATTAGGAGTTTGCTATCACAGGACGAGTACGTGATCTGTGTTTAGGTGGAGGAGAGCGAGGAGGTTCGTGCTGACTTTATAGTGTGCTAATAATCCTCCAAAGAATTCAATTGAATCTTATCTCCTTAATATTAAATCTTGCTAAACGACGCATATACTCCATATACAGAATGTTTTTGGCATCCTAATTATGTTGAGTAGGTTAGCATACATGACACAGTTATAATCCGATCGTCTATAGCTTTATTAACGGTATACCTGTTTCGAATAATAAGTAAAAATTGATTTTTGTAGAACCCAATTATTATGGAGAGAGCATTATAACCTTCCCATGCGATACATATGGTCAAGACAAAATATGCATTGGATTTGGATGGACTCTTTATAATTTACTTTTGTTGAAATTAAATATGTTCATTGTATCAAGAGGAAAAATACATTAAGAGGATAATATAAATTAACTACTATTTTTGAAAGAGTTTTTTTTGGAAACAGTGATTCATATTAAATGTAACGAATATAATATATATATGGATGTTATATAAATTACATGTGTTGGGTCATGAAATATAGAAAGTTTTTGACCGAAACATATAATATTTTGCCTTCTCCTATTCTTCCTTTGTGTGATAGCTCTAACACTTCTCCCTATCTAGTTCAATACCTTCTTCATGTAACCTTGCTTAAACCAACTTACCATTTATTCGTTATATGTCGATCATTCACTAATTTGATTGAGACAAAAAGAAAACTTTGATATATACTTGCTATCTCTCTTCTCTTGCTTATTTAGTTATTGTACACTTGATTAGTTTGTAAAATATTTTAAATAACCAATTTTATCCCCCACTTGGTGCCATTTGGTTTCACTTCACCATAGACCCTCTTGAGTTGATAGACTCCATCATTCTCTTCCAAATAACCTCTTAGGTAAATCTTTAAAAATTATTGACATAATTGTTAAAGGAGACCGAGGCAAAATCACTCTCATATCATTATGTACTTCTTTGCTCCCTGGTTCTTCCCTTCCTCCCAAGCCCCTTTTGTCTCATCAACTACCAAACTAGCAATCACCAGTTCATCAGAGTAGGCCGACAATCACTCCCTCAACTACCTACCGTCCTCGATGGCCTTGCCTAGCTGCCAGCAAGCATCCTTCAACTCCTAGCATAGGACTTAGACCTGCTCCTAAGCCTCTACCACACTCTCTACAGCCTCATCTTCAACGACAGTCAATGTGTCCCAAGCCTCCTCCACCTATGCCTTGACTTCTTCAGTACAACAGATAGCCAAACCTAGGTCCAAGGATAGTTCAAAGGTCTCAACCTCCACTCTCCTGAATGCTTTCGCGAGGCGTTACTCTACCTCCTCGACTTGAAGGTGGGTCCAAGTCAACTGTGAGGATAACTCTATAACTCGAGTCTCTGCCATCCTCCTCTCTTCTTCAGGCCGCTTTGCCTAAGCCCGCTAGGCGGAGTTGGCCTCAGAGAATTGGCTGATCAATGCGTCCACATCCCACAAACGGTCAACAAGCACCGTCATGTAGTGATGGTGCTGCAGGTGCAAGATGGTTAAAGAATAAGTCCAAAGAAAATAACAAATATGCTCAAGGGGCCTGACTAGGACTTCATTGCGAGAGTAGAGGTCGTCCAGTACCCCTGGCAAGCAATTGTATATTATGCCAGCCAAGGTGGGGCTGAGCAAACCCCGACAATAAGTGGTGGCCAGCTTGGCCTCCTCCCGTAGTCATTGGTCCTTGGGCAACCCCTCCTAATGCGACTTCAAGGGGGCGCTCGAGGATGGAGCCAAGCGGCCGAGCATAGTGGAAACGGACGATTTGAATGTGAGGAAGCTCTAGTCCAACAAAGGATTAGTAGATAGAGGATGCGGAGGTACGACCTAAGGGCCTTTGGTGGCGTCATCCTCCCAGGGGGTGGAGGGCTCCTTAGCTGCCTCCTCACGTGATGACACAATCGTAGGTGGACCCAAAGATGGGCCCAAAGAAGCTACATGAGGAACCTCCCTCACCGGAGATAATTGCAGGTTAGGGACTTCCTTAGTAGATGGCTCCATATGTGGAATAATGACCACGGGAGATGGAGCATTGTGGGGCTAGAGTAGCGATATTGGTTTCTCGGAGGCAACCTCTCAGATGGCTCTAGGGTCAGCCCAAGTAGTGGCCCTAGAGAAGTGACAACAATAAGATCCGGACCCCCAATTGAGGGCCATATAAGAGAGACGAGGGGTGGCCAGTGAGAGGCCCCTGCCCCTCAGGTGATCCTAGCCCAAGAGACGAAGCCACCTCTACCTTCACGAGCAGTGGTTTTGGGGGCTCAATAGGGCCCCCTGATGCCTCTTTTGGGGGCTAAGGCGTACAACATCATGCTTACCTAAGGACCTCGAAAAAGTCAAAACCCTTGCAAGGGGTTGTAGGTCCCCCTTGAACAGGTCGACGCCAACCTTCGAACTTCTAAAGGCCCCAATAGGAGGGCCACAAAAGGAGCCCTAGGCCCACGATGGTCGCTCAACCGTCGATAGGCCCTCGTTGGGCCCCGAGAAGGGAGTAGAAGGGCACCGCCTCTTCAACTCCCAAAGATTCATACCTGCCAAGTGTCCACAGAGCAAGGGTCAAAGACAAATAAAAAAGAGCCAGAAAAGAAAAAAAATGACCATACCAAATGGGGCTGGAGGAGAGGTGGCCTCCACCGAATAGGCTTCCTCCTCACGCTTCATGGCCCCAGATGAGAAGAACCCCTATATCTTGTCTAGGGCCTCGCCTTTGCTCGGAGATAGAGAAGGCAGTGTGTTGTCTATGATATGTGCTGCCCAAGCCACTAAGAAGCCCCAATCTTGGCTTTCGTTGACGATGAAGAAGTGCCTCCTCTACCCCTTACTATAGAAGATCACTCCGCTTATCTTAAACCTCGCACAGGGTGACAGGTAGTAACTACTTAGCCCTTGACTTAGTCGAAAACACCAGCAAAAGAGGTCCCAAGATGACACCACCTGCACGTCATCGCATGCCTTGAGGAAGAACCTCAAGAAACACCAAGAATTTGGTGTCATATGGGAAGGCAAAATTTGATAATATCCCAAACAATAAGCCATCACTGGAGGAATAGGGAGGCGTAACCCCGCCTCCACAGCATCAATGGAAAGGGCAAACCTCGTCCCTAAGGATAGACAGAACAAACTCTGATGGAATCCGAAAGCAATTTCATAGTGCCTTTAACTACTACGAGGTAACCACAGAACTATAGTCGTGAGCCTCCTTCATTTGCACTAGGTCTCATAGGACCATGAGAGTCTCTGAAGGTTCGCTCCTCACATATAAAAAGCTCACCTGAACCACCTACCATATGTGTATAATCCTCTAGGCCCAATATCGAACTAGCCATGAGTCATACCTATCAAAACTCTTTCTAACTCAGTAAATTATCATCTCTTATAATAATTCACTTGACTCATCGACTACAGATGTACTACGCCACAGTCCATAGACGATATAGGAGAATCTAATTCATTAGACATATCTATCTTCAGTTACCATATATCTATAATCCCTCATCTATCTAATATCTCAAATATCGTACACTAAGCATGATGCTATTAGGCCTATATAGTTTCTACTCGAGTCTTGCTCTAATTGGATTCTTCCGGAGAACTCTTTCTCTCTCAATCTATATAACCCTAGCCATGGATTTGTGAGTAAGAATATATAGGATATTCCTCTCATGACACTGAGAGCAGATGATTCTCTATTGACACTCAATTGCCCTCATAAGATTGGTTACCACTTCCGATGATCGGTTGTGCTAGATCTAGAACCTCTAGACCTATAAGTTTGATATTAAAGAGCAGAGTACTCATATAGGGCATCCTTGGTGTTTCAAGTCTAAGGACCAAACACACAATTAGGACCATCGAATCGTTGTATGACAATAAGGTATCATTAAACATCTAGTATTCTATGAGCGGATCAATTAGTGAACTCATTCTCCAATGAGCACAAGTACTATATCCCTAGTGTCCCCACACGAGAAGCTATGAGACCAACCGCCTCTATCATATGGATTGGGTATACAGCATATTAGTCTGTCTAGTTATCTCGATGTCTCTCTCGAGTAACCTACGATCAAGATTTTTAGAGTATATATTTAAAGATAAGTCGGTCTCATTATCATGATATTTGCTAGTGATAGGTGTCTTGTAAGCCAATCACGTGAGTGATGACACGTGTGACTTGACTTGCTTATTATTATTATTTGACATTTGATCACTTTATATTGATTGTTGCACATACGCATATATATTGTGATGTCCTTAGATCTGTGCAATGAGAATCAGATCATGATGAGATCACGATAATGAGACCAATTTACCTTTAAACACAAACCCTAAGAAATCCCAATCATATGTTACTCGAGAGAGACATCGAGATTGTCACATTTTGGATTTTTTTTTTTTAATCTTTCCACACATTTAGGCCAAATAGATAAACATCACTTTATTCATCATTCATAAACATTTATTACAATTCATTTATTCATCGAATCATAAATAGAAAAATAAACATGGTGATGTTAACTTCAAAAGTCATCCAAGTGGCTCTACCTAGCGGTAGAGGAAGGTCCGCTCTCCACTGGAATCTGATTTAGTACTAGAGGGAGGCTGCTTTAAAAATTAAAAACAAAGAAAATTCAGCAATGCTGAGTA